AAGAATTAACGAGTGTTGTCCTTCGACAACTTTAATGCCTTTTATTTGCCAAATTACCTTGGCAAGATGTGCTCGTTTGACGAAGTACAGTTACTTTTATTTTCTATGCGTTTATGCAAAATGGGTAGTAATGTATAATAACTGGTTTGGTGGCAACACTATACCTATCATTCGACGATTGATATCGAATACAATTCCAACAGCTTTTGTTAAGACTAGTTTGTTTTATGTACAAATATTAAATTAGGTGTATACATAGAGATGGGTAGGATTATTCATCAAAGTAGTCCAAAATTTCAGGAATAAAAAAAATGCATTAACAGGTCAGATTAATGTGTTACAAGTATTCCATTATGGGTTACATATTAAGTAAGCGGTCGGCTTATTGGATTACAATAATTTGTACATTGAACTTGGATCGTATGAACTCATCTTCTCGAGGCTAAAAACACAATCATATGATCTAATTTTTTTCCTCAATAATTATTCAGATAATGAACGATTATTTCATTCAGAAACCAGATTAATTGGTTACTTAAAATAATAATTATAAATAAATATTAAAATTAATACAATATTAAGGATACATACATACATTTAATCAGTTCAACATTTTACATTTTTAATTTTTGGCCTTAAAAAATACAGTACATGTAACTGTAAACTTGCTGCGTAAAGAAATCGTCTTCAGAGACATCGTGGATCCAGTCACAAAAAAAAAATTCAAAGCACATTACTGTAAAGCCAACAATACCTTCCAGTTTCGCATCGAAATAAAAAAAAATTGTAAGCACATTTTTAATTTTAAATCTAAAAAACTGTTTTTATTAAATACAATGTTTTGGACCATTAGAGTACAACTAATCTGTAACACATAATTTTGGATTACTGTAATAACTAATAAAATCCGTTATCCAATAACTCAGAATATCACTGGAACAAAAATGTAATCCAATTTTTGTATTAACCCCATTGTAATCGATTACCGATAGCTATATCACAGAATGCAGATGAAAGCAGAAGGGTCACTTTAAATGTAAACAAAAAAGTGGCGACCATTTTTTAAAGTCTATCCTGTGTCATTCTGTGTTCTCCTGTTCCTTCTGTATCCTGGGTCCTTGGCCGCTTTTTCTTCTTAAAATTCCATCAAAGCGAAGAGCTCGATGATCTGCTGTATTTTCTGTGCAAGTTTGATGGTTGCAAACCGCAAATGGAACGAAATTCACGGTGACTTATCGTGGGGCACAACGCGATTTACACTAGGTTCACGTACCGTATTGACCATGAAGTATCCGTCGGTAAATTGCCCATTCCGTGAGATACGGTTTAATATCTTTCCCAGTCCTGTGGGGTGTTTTCATACGAAGGGAGGGCCGTTTGAAATCGTTGTTTTTAATTCCATTAAGCCCCCGGCGCACGCGGACAATCGCGGCCGTTGCCGTTTAATGGAACATTTTATTTTTATTTCCGTTTCCAGCCGACCCGGTCAGGTTAGACCCGGCGGGGAGGCGCAAAAGAGACGGTGAAAGACAACACCTTCAGCTCATATGTTTGCCCGGTTGTGTTTAATGTTTATCGATTCCATTTGCGCTCTTGGCCGGCCCAATACCTACCGCCGAACAGTACTTACAAGAAACAACAAACGGCACGTTGCGGGCGCCTCACACCTGTCGAGCTGCTCACATAAATAGCAAACGTTTACGGCCGCCTGTGTACTGTAAAAATAACGTCCATTTCCTAAGTAAATAAAAAATAATTTTATACGATTATACTCGGTTATGTTTGAAAATAAACAATGTTAACTGAATGCCTATTTCCATTAATAATTGTATTGTATTATATATTTTGTATTTGCACTGGCTACGATTTTCTAAGTAAAAGTATGTTCTATTTACTTTGTACCTACATCGTTGAATAATTTATTCTGTGCTTTTAATCCGCCGGGCTTTCACTAAAATTTGTATAACGAATCACACCACAATACGTAGCGAAAATTGGACGTGCACGTGCTCGAGAAACTTTAACCGTTATAGCGTATAAATATCCACAAACAAAATTACTGATTAATAATTTATCACCCATTTCGATAGAATACTTTTTAACAAAGATATATGAGCTGTTAAAAAATTCAAAATTTAATATACTAAAACTCGATTCCTAGTAACATTATCGAAAATCGTCCATGTAAATAATAATAACAACGTACAGATGAATATTTAATTTACTTAACGAATAAATATTAGAGTTGGAACTTTGAACATTTGAATTTGCAAAAAATGCATTCAATTTATAAATATATATATATATATATATATATATATATATATATATATTATTATTATATTTTTAAGTTTGAATATTATATTGTCGTTGCGTCTAAAACGGATTGACCTAAAAGTGAATGTGCTGTGTTGGCCGAAAAGTTAAACTGAGCAAAAAGGGTCCTGCCCAAAATATTTACCACAAACAAAATATAATGTGTACGATGAAAAAAGTTTGGATATAGTCGCTGCAGCTATTGTATGGCACGGTTTACCTAATTGGCTTCCATCCACCGACGCGATAAGCTTAAAGATAATAACGTCGACGGTCGCATAACAATATTTCTCTGCTAATGTTTGTTTATTGTGTGATTTTTCTACTGGTAAGGTTTTATTATTTTCCCGGGGATGAAACGCTTACACGGGGGAGTGAAACTCGACGGTAAAACGTATAAGAGATAACGGGTATTCTGAGACAAATTGCCTTTGTACGATATTACACTAGGTTATTTTTGAACCATATACATTACATATAAAATACATACTTTAGACAATTTCGTGGCTCAATATTTTATGCTTGTATCATGATTGCTGAAAAAAACGGAAATGGCTTGCTAATAGCGAGTACAATAATTATGACAGCCCTGAATGTGTATATATAGATATATATATATAGATATCAACTGTGTTACTGTGACATTGTTACTTCAAAAAGTAGGTTTAAGGGCATCAATATTATGTTAAGTCGTAAAATTTGTAATTATTATTAAACAGAACGTGTAGGTATATTTTAATATGCTTAATTGACTATTATAAAACAACTTGACAACCGTGAGAGTTATAATTTTTCGAAGGTCAGCGAACGTCTAGAACTCGCCCACGACTACATTAGATGTATATTTTAAAACAGCAACGCTTGGACAATGTCATGCATCATAATAAATAATAAATATGATAATAAACATATTCAATATGATCGCCATTGTTTATAATGCATTTTCCGTTTTCTATTAATTAAAAAAAAAATTATGTGCTATATTAGGAATTTGACAAATCAGGCTCAAGATCAAGTGTTGTTCAATAATACACAATAATATATTAGAATATTATGGAAACTAAATCGTTAAGCAAATGATTTTTTTTTTTTTTTTATAAAATATGTAAATTAAAAAAAGTGGTACTTGAGCACAAAACTTAATAGTATCATTCTGCATGGATATACATAAAATTGTTTTAATGATTTGATCAATTTTTTTTTAAAGATTTTAGGTGTTTTTGTTAAAGTATACGAAATCTGCGAAAACACAGTTTCCCGGAAATTAAAAAAAAACTGTAGTGCCGAATTTTTTTCCCGTTTAATATGTTATGGATACATATGAGTTCCAACTACTGGCAAATTTTCAACCCAAAAGTTTTAAAATTACGGCTAAAAACCCCGAAAAACAAAAAAACTTGTACCCCCCCTAGGGGGGTGGGAAATGGGTATAGTTTAAGTTTGACACTACTGACGTGTGCGGGCATACCAAATAATTATTTCTTATACATTTCAACTCGATCCGACTCTTTTTCTCGAAATTATAGCCAGTAAAAGTTCAAACTTTAAAACTCGTACGGTTTTTTTTTGTTTTTTCAACTTTCGTCTGTGAAGAATTAAACTTTTTCCACTTTTACCCCCCCCCCCCCCCCAAAGTACCAACTAGATGAAATTTGCGATTTATAGAGTTGCTACTCGAAGGAATTGGTCCAGTATTAAAAAAATTACAGTGTATACAGATAAAAAAAAAACACACATCAGAGTAAAACCAATACCTTCTCGCTTTGCATCGAAGCTAAAATATACTGTTTATAATCCCATTTTCTATTAAAATTTCAATAATACCAAAATTATGAAAATTGAAAAATCATTTTTAATTGGTATAATATATATATATCTATACATGTAAACACGAGTAAAAAGCCAAATATCCTCATGAAATGTACTTTGAAATTTAAGTACATTTGAAAAAGAATGTTAAGAAACAATAAGTTCAAATTGTGAACAATCAATATGCATTTAAAACTTGAATGTAAAATGAAATAAAAAAGTAGAATCCGTATTTAATCATTCAATGTACAATTTAAAAACAATTAATCTCATTTATTGTTCAGATTTAAAACAATAAGCAAAAGCTCCGTCAGCTTCCTCGTCTTGTATTTAATTTGAGACATTGTGTGAAACCATAAAATAAAACTTCTGCCATCACAGCAACGCATTTTTCTACTTGGCGTTGTCTCGTTAGCCTGTATAAAATACCTTTGATTCTATTTATAACACGCCTATAAATGGTTGCCAACAAGGCGGATTTTGACTTCAAGATGACGGGCACAAGGATTATACGAAAAAAATAGACTCGAAAAAAACTGGAGCTGTGTTTGGGTATTGTTTCGATTTTTTGATAAAACTTTGTCTTAGTCTTCCCAGATTTCCGTAACAAGATTGTTTAAGTTATATCACCCAGATCGATGGCGTAAAAGTCAGTGTGAAATAATTATTACATTTATTTTCATTGTCTCGGTAGCAAAGTAACAAAACAAGTCAATAAGGTCTATTCGACCTTTTCTTATATTTTTCAACTGTTTAAAAACAATTAAAAAATAAACAAACAAAACGTTCACGTTATCTATTAGCATTTCACCACAAATCTACCAATCTATACTAGTTGTTGGAATTATATATTTGTTCGACTAATAAAAGTGGAGGGTATGTATTTTTCGTGCTGAACTCTACGTGCCTCTTTTTAATTTTAATAATTCAATTTAGTATACGAATACCTACTTCATACAACGCCAATGAATACGAAAATAAATATTTTTAATATTATGTAATGTCAACGGTAGGTAGGTGTATTATATTTGCTGATGCTGCGTTCGTATAAAGACACCCACGTTATATTAATATCGTTACAATAGGTATTAAAATAAATTTGTGACTGCTGGCGCGATTAATACAGTTATATTCATAAGTGCAGACTATTTATAATTGTTCATATTTATCGACATCGGCCTCCGCATAGTTATGCGGAGGCCGATAGTTATATTCAATAATATAGTTATATTCAATAATTATTCCACAAATAGGTTGTTGCACATACGCAACATATTATTTCGTTTGGAAAGTATAAAATACAAATTAAAAAACAATAATAACTACTACTCTATGTACTTTTGACGCATATTAATAATCGATGTCGATCGTGGTATATACTTAAATATTGAATTTCGCGTTCAGTCCGAGTCTTCTTCGTCTTCGTCCTTGATGATACCCAGATGCCGTGCTACCGCTTTTACGTTGCTAATGACTTCCTCTTGGACTAGGTTGAAGCTCATGGCCAACAGAGCTATGCCGAATAGTAGATACAGCGAGCAAAACCATATGCGTAACTTGGTGTCGTCGCCTTTGTTCATGACCCTCTGGGCCGGTACAAAGTCACCGAACCCGATGGTGGTGAGCGTGATAAAGCAAAAGTAAGCCGAATCCGGGAATTCCCATTGTTCCCAGCTTTTGAAAAGGAACGCTCCCATGATGATATAGCTGACCACCAGCAGAACGCACAGCCAGATGGGTACGGGCTTCGTGTGGTCCGGGTTGTTGTCGTCGAAGTCATAAGCATCAGAATCGTCGTAATAGTCACTATACCTGGACCTCCGAGGATATTGTCGGTTGACAGCGAATCCGAGAGGTGACATGATCCGAGGACTGGGCGCCATCACCTCTAATCGTTTGTCTAAAAACAAAACGGCAAAAATTTAACATAAATAGGTACTTCATGACGCCACAAGGGTTTTGAATTTGATGTTTGATTTGTTTTACAAACAATATTTATGTTAGGAAGTTTAAAAACCGGTTTTCACTTGGTTTCACTTGGTTAGCTTAAAACGTTTAACTTATATGAATTGTTTTATTTGTATTAATTTTTTTCGTTAATCCAACTATTAGAGCGTGGGCGTTCACTCAAACTAATTTTGCGAAAAATATTTGGACCAAAGAAAAATAAAGAAGGCGGCCACAAATAAGATCAAACAGAGAACTAGATACTTTATTTAACGATCCCAATATCGTGGACATACTCAAGAGCCAGAAATTAAGGTGGGCTGGTAAGGTATGAAGAGCAGAGGGCCAACTTAAACACGGGCAGTCACGAAATGGAGATCAAATAAAATACGACCAAGAAGAAGACCTAGACAACGGTAGAAGGATCGAGTTAAAGAATATCTAAAAATATTGGAAGTGCTCAATAGAAACTAGCTGACATCACATAAAGAAACGTGAAGATATATTGAGGAAGCGGCAGTGGGTCTAAATGGCCTAGAATAAGCCATAAATAAAATAATTCAATTAAACTATTAAAATTTATTTCTGCATTTTATTATTATTTTACTGTTTAATAACTCATTAACATATTATATTATGTGTATTTATATTGAACTAACATGGCATACTTAAAAGTTCTATACATAACCTTGATTTAATGTTTACCGTCACTTCATCTATATTATTCAGCGATTTATGTCGTTTTTATCAGTCGGCTCTTAAGGTTGTGTCTACTCAGTACCGCGTCGCGTCGTCATCATTTTTATAGGCGTTGTTTACATAAACCGTATTTCTGTGGCATTGTAGCAGAAAATGATTTGTCAGGTTGTCTTTAATGTTGGCATTATCATGTTAATAGATGGCCATCATATTATTAGTATAGTGGCCAATTATGCCAATTTTAGTTCGTAAAAATTTGACCCAACAATGTTCTGATAAATATGCAACATATACAAAGTGATTACAAAAGAATACCACAACTTTCATTAAAGTTTTTGTAATCACCATGTATTATATGCAACTTAATACGTAGTCTTGTCACAAAAATTCGATATTTCAATGCCAAACAATAATAATATGTTCTACCATCAAAATTAAAATGTACATAAGGTAACGAAAATTCAATTTCAATACAATATTTAACAACGGAATTACCTTATGCAATAATCCCTAGTATAATTAAGAGAACTCAATTAAATATGGACCAACTTAATCCAGTTACGCATTATCCTTTAAAGTGCCTGATATAGATCTCGTGTTCTTTTGCCATGATTACATGTAAATCATTTTAAACTTGATTTCATGCAATTTAATGTAAGTATAGAATTTAAAAAAAAATTGTTAAAGAAGCAACTAACTATTTTTATTTCAAAATTAAATAAATTATACAAATCTTAAAAAAAATAGCGGAAGGTTATTTTGTTATGGGTAATTTCGTTTTAAGATTATTTATAATTTTTTAATTTTCTGTATTCGATTGGAAAAAGTCACTGAATGAATAATATAAATAGCATGAAAGTGTTAATATAAAAAAATCAACGGGAAATGAAAACACAGAATTTACATTATTATCCTATGCCATTATTAATCTCCTACCGTTTTTTTTTTATTCTTGCTAATCCGGACACCAAAGGTACATTAAAAAACTGAGAATAAATATATAAAAGCGTTGTTGGTACAAATAAGAAAAAACCTTCGACGTAATTTAAAACAAATAATATTAAAATTAAATACCATTGTGAAAACCGTGGAAAGAAAAAGTAATGATAAAAATTTGCTAGTACACAAGTTTCATTAATCTAGAATTTCAATTAATAATTCAATCGGTTCGGTTAATATTATGTTAAAATATGTTTTTATTGTGATGATGACCAAAAATGGCAGTTTGGCCAATGTGGCAGTATTAAGACGTAGTACAGGATTCGTTCCGTTATTTGCCGGATATCTTTTTCCGGGCCGTCGCAACTGCAAATCTCCGTTTACGAACCGGAACAAAAAGAGTAGTTTGTCCTAATCACAGCACAAATTAAACCGTCTAAGCTGTGGGAAGCTAATGGTCGGAAAAATAACAATGACCAGGCAAAACTGTTATTTGGAAATTATTCGGTCAGTGTATGTATGTGTATTCTTAGGAATTAAGAGTTTTTCACTGGGATTAGCAACGGTTTCCTTTTTTTTTTTTTTCATCTAACTTTCATGCAGAAACTGAATTTTTAGTTTATGTACTCACTCTGGTTGGAATTTCGATGTCTTGGTCGGTATTTAGGTTTCGGATAGTAATCTTGATCTTCCATCGGCGGCGGCGCTTCAACCGCTAAATGTTGAGGTGTTTTACTCCTATTCGTCCGCAACGTGTTGGTTGGCGTCTCTCTTGCCAAGTTTGGTGCTGCGGAATGCCCTCGGATATTTCTTCGGATCTCTTCGCTCTGTTTGGAATTAACTGCGCAACAATAATTAATATCAAACACAAATAAACTACGGTTAGGTTAGGTTCAAAATACTTGTTTCAAATACTCACTTCTTCTAGATTCGTCTCTGTCCAGTGCGTATTTGTTAAACAATATGGCAGGCACTGGTTGCATTTCTAATCCGGTCATTTGGTCACCGTCGGGGTAGTAAGGTTCTATAAATATAAAACATATTATTATGAATTTAATGTAATAGATTAAATTAACAATAAGCACAAGTTTCCTTCGTCATTCTGACAACTCTCATAAAAGTATAAACAAACATTTTGTCGCTTCAACGTATAGTTAACAAGAACGTCACTATCCATTATAAATGTCGGATCCTTGTATTTATAAACTATATAAAACCGAAAAATAAATTGCATTTGGTTAACATAGAGATGCTGTTCTACACTTTAATATACTATTTCTCACTGATAGGTTCAGATAGTTGTTGAACAGCTAAAACAACATACAAAATGATAACGTTAAAATTTCCGAGTAATAAAGCTTTGTTTTAAAAAATCACGTTCAAGATTTTTCGGTTGCTATTCCAAAATATGTCCTATTAACTTAAAAAAAAAATTTTCCTTGTCCCGAGGAAATGTTTATTTGTTACAAAACGTAGCGATAATAATATAAACAACTGTAAAATGTAATTATTCAGATATGAACGCGAAGAATTCATATATTTTGTCCTCAAAGTATTGTAATTTTGTATTACAAAATTAAAATTAAAACAAATAAATAATAAGGAGATTTTGAAATTATTTTACAAAGTCAAAAAAATATATACTATATAATTTACATATTCAGTTATGTGATATTCGTCCACTTTATGTATTAAACAAATTTTTACAAATGAAAAAAACAATTTTACATTGTAAAGGATTGTATTTCTTCATATTATTATACTAACTTCGTACCAACTAGAATCAAATATTGTTAGCATATTTTTTTATATGTATAATAAAAAAAACTTTATTTATTGTTGTGGTATTATAAAACAATATTATTTCTAATTATATATTAAATTATACCTTTGAATATAACTGAAAATAAAATATATTGTTTGGTAAAAGTAGAATTCATAATTGCATAATTTATTTTATATGACATCCTACACTTTTATATTAAAAATAGAAAGTATAAACAACATTACTTGTCATTTGTATCGGTAATTCAATTGTGTAGCATGTTTTGTATCAAGCACACTTTTTTTAGTTCTTGTTCAAAAATCGTATTAAACCTTCCAATTATATTACATAATAACATTTGTGTAAAAATAAGAATTAAAATATTTCTGATTAATCTACATTGTGACTCGAAGTGATTATTCATTTTAATTCTTAGTATAACATGTTTAAGCTTATAAACCTATCAAGTATTTACATAGCTAATAAAATAATACATTATATTTGTATTTTATGTTATAGTAATAACCTATAATAGTTGATGGAGTATATAATAATTATAAAAGTGCTATTGTGAATTATATATTTTTATTATTTCAGATTACCTAACACTGGTATACCAGTGAAGTTTGGTTTTGTCATTATTGGAAATATTTTGTTTATGACATTCCCGTCAAGTTTAACTTATTTCATGAATATTAATGCTCTCAAAATACAAATAATAATAAATGAATGTAAATGAAATGTAGGTACCTGATTTGACAACCGCAAAGACAACAAAAAGGACATTTTGTCTTACTTAATAATATGTATGACATTGCTATTTCTAACGACTTATTTACTTGCATAATGAAGATATAACATTATTAAATCTTAAATTTGTAGAGATTATTATAAACAACTCCCAATTTAACTTAAGCTTTATAAAAAATCGAAGAAAAAAAATAATCAAATAAACCTAATAAAGGACCATAATACTCAAAAAAAAAAAATGTTCAATCAAGAAATCTAATGGCGATTGGAGAAATGATATAAGAACAAAGTACACTTGATGGCAATAGAAGGCTCTTCAAGACCTTTTAAGCTACCTAAAAAAAATTGAATACCGAAAAATATTGGACAAAAGCCAAAACCAGTTATCAACATTTTTTAGATTTAAGTATTATAAATTAGGTAGGTATATTTTTTTATTATGTTATTATACTCATCCGCACTTTTGGTCCCGTTCTAACTTTTAAACTCTAAAAGTAATGAAATCACATCATAAAAAAAAACATTACGAAAAATAAAAGTTCAAAAATTAATTAAACCCTATGATATATTGAGTGGGTCACTTTAAAAAAATCACCCCGTACAACAGCTATATCAGCGATAAAAGTTTCAAGATTAAAAAGGTTAGACAGGCAGAAACAGCTCACACGTTCATCGAAAACTGACGGGCCGGACTCTGCCGGTCTCCATCGTAAACAACACATCGGGCTGTAAATCATTTAGAGTCCAAAAAATATATTTTTTTTTTTTGCTGTGGATTTTTGTTTTAAGTTTTAGACATCTTTGTTGGGAATCATAAAATCAAATACCAATATTATTAAATATTATCCGTATCCAAAAGTGTCACTAAGAAAAAAAGTAAAATATTCTATCAAATATTCTGTTCCTACCGTACCTGGCATTCTATACCGGCCTTGGTAATATGGAGCACTTCGAGAACCACTATTCTGACTTGTCGACCTGGGCTTTATAGCTGGAGAGTGCCTGCGTAAGGGTACCGTGTCGCAGTACCTCGGAGGTGGCAAGTAACGGTTGGGTCTCTGTTTGCTAGACGGCATGACTCCACCGAACATTGACAACTCCCTTTCCATTTTGTCATAGTATCTAAAAATGATTATTATAAAATGGCATTTGATGCATTTCTATATTATTAAATTATATGAATATGATGCGGCTTGATTTGTACAATACCTGCACTCCGTGTCTGAGTACGATGACCTGGTGTAACAGTCGGACATCCCTATGGCACTGTCGGCTGATCTTTGTGATATCCGTCCGGTTCTTCGCAAAGACGTAGGCCGGGATCTAAGGGGACAAACAATAATTAAAGTAAGTAATAACGCATTAATAATAAAAGTAGGATTACGGTTGGTGTACAAAATCCAAATAAAAAAAATAACAATAATTAAGAGTACACCTAGTCTAATAATTCTTAGGGTACATAATTGGCTGATTCATCCAGGGGACTCACTCTGTTTTAACCAATTCACTTACAATGTATGTTAAAAAAAAAACAGCATGAGACACTCTATATTTTAATAAGGTTTAAGTAAATAAAGAGGTATTTATGCACGGCGGTCATTCCTCGGCTGGCAAACAAATCCTAATTGCAAAAATGTTGTTTATAATCGTAACAATAGTCTGTCAATGAATCTTAAACGAGTCCTAAGTAATTTTATTTTATTATTATTATTTTATGCGATCCGGATTTGTCATAACGGTCATAATATTATACCCGTGAGATCTTGTGGTAGACCTTTGACTGCGAGACCTCCTCAACGACTGCACTCTTCTCTGACGTCGTGTACACGTGTAACAGCACACTTTCCAGTAAAGAAACCTGAACGAATGTGCCATTATGTCCCCTATATTGGACAAACATAGCAGCATCAAAGGTATCCCGACGATGGCGTAGAATATGGTCACGATCTTGCCGTTGAGCGTTTTCGGTGCGATGTGACCGTAACCTGAAACGTGGTAATATTAATACTTAACAGCACCAGAACAGCTAGTAAAATTACTAATAACCAGGACCAAAAAAGTGATGTCCATTAATTAAGTTAAGCGATTATTTTAAATACTCCTTTAAAGAAGCTTAAGATTGTTTTATAAATTACAGATCTCTATCGGGTAATTATAAAATAGTTCAGCCAAAAATATGTATTCTCTGAAATAAATATTAACTGACAATATAAAGTATAAAAATGACTTCATAATATATAAACAAAACTTTGATCCTTTACATTTTTTGTGAGCAAGTAAAAGAATAACACAAAACATTTTTATTATGGTACACCACAAACGGTTAGTTAAATAAATAGTTTAAAGTTTTTAATACATTGCAAATAATCAAGAAGACGCATCAGGAATCATCTCTAAGTAAAAAGAGGTTTGGTAAATTATGCAATTTGTATCAAAGACCAAATGCTTCAATAAAAAAATTATATTTTATACTAAAATACTAACGATAGTTTATTAGTGCTACTAAAAAATGTCATATCATAGTTTCAAATAAATTTTAAATTTGAATTATTCCAAATGGAATACCTAATTATTTTAGTTCATAAAGATGCATTCTGTCATACTTAAGATAGTAAATAGTAGGTATGTGAATACGTTTTATATAAGACATACATCAAATATATATTCTAAAAGTATTGTATTTTAATTTCTTTGTAGTGTTTAGAAAACTACAAGCTAATAATTATAAGTATTCTGTAGTCGTGAAATTAATATTATATTAAAAATTTACATTAGCCTTTACATACGGAAATAGTACAACTCACTATATTTCAATAATCACGTGGTAACTAATTATTTTATTTCGTAAATATTTAATTAAAATAGTATAAAAAAGCCAAATTTAAACTACTTAAAAATAACAGACGGGTTTCATGAGTTGGACGATTTTTAATTCATATGTGGTTTTTTTTAGGATTATGAAATAGTACTTGTTTAAAAACACGTTAACATAATGAATATGAGGTTTTCTATTTTAATGATTAACATATCAAATTATACCGTGGATTTTTCATTAAAAAATGTTAAAAAAACGAATATCTTCGTAACGGTATTTTAGCACGTGCGCACTACATTAGTGGTCGAAAAAGAATATCTTGTCACCGTAACCGACAGTGATTTTTCTCTACTGGCTGGCTAATGAAGAAAACTAATCAAAACCAATCGCACATGAAAAACTTCACGCTTTTCTCGACGATGATTCTCGGATTTGTGTTTTTTCAATAATTATTTGTGTTATTATGATTATGCATTTGAGCGGCCCACTTGTGCCGCTTATTTCCTTATCCGTCAACAGGTGCATTGAACCTTGAAATATGTTTTCGTCGTTGTTTTATTACTTACTACGCCCTGTATATATGTTACAATACAAAAAAAAAAAATGCAAATTACTTGAACGTAGGTAACGCGCGTGTGTGTGTGTATTTATGTTTATAAAAAAAAAAAATTAGGAAACGCTTTTTTTAATCGACGGTCTAATGGAAAAGCGCCGACACGATTGATCGTTCCGGCCCCGCTAAACGCGTTGAATCCAAGTAAATCGGTCGTGTAGGCCTGGCAAACGACCTCGCGTTAACAAGACGTCGTGAATTTTAGCTTTTTGCCAAAGACTACTTACAGAAAACCGCACGTGGGCGCCACCCTCATAGTATAACGTCATGTACCTCGCCCCCCGCTCTCTTCCATCCCAGATTCCCGGTTATGTTTTGTTCATTTTAATATTGTGACTCCATTGTTCGTTTATCTATATATATATATATTTCAATATGTCACTTTAACCCCTCAAACCCCGGAAATGCTATGTACACACGGTAAAAACACACACACACACATGTGTGTACGCAGTGTAAAGCCCGTAGGTACACGCACAGCTCAAACGTCAGAAGCAAACTTAATATATCCTCCACAGACAAATATACAACTTTTTACACAGTGTTTTTATTTTCGACGAGGAAATGTAAAGGTATGGTTTTTTGTTTATTTTTAATTTTTTTTTGTTTTTAGACTATAGCTCCTCAACCGATAAACCGATAAACCGATTTATATACATATATAGCTAGTCTGAAGATCACAATATCGTACTTGAGAGATACCTTATTGGACCAACCATTTAAGAATTACATCCCTTCCCGCTAAAAATCGAGAAAAACTCCAAAAGTTAACTATGATACACGCTGGTGAAATCAATTGCTCTCATAAATAATTTTTTGATTTACACATATTTAATTTAAATATTATGACGAGTTGCTTAAAAAAATCTGTCTACTGTATCTTAATTGTATTACATTTAAGTTTTAAATACAAAGATTATCAGATGTAATCATACATTTTTGTTTTTGTCCAACACTGGCTGAAAGAAAAGACGAGTTCTAAAATCTAGCTTAAATCCTACAAGTTGTGACCGTTTAAAAACGAATACAATTATAAATTAAGAAAACAAAATATAAACGGCATTCAATTTATATTGTACATGATTTATAATATTTTCGAACAACTTATTTCTCTTAAGACAATTTTGACATATCACGTAAAGCCCTAAACAATGATTTTATTGTTATTTTTAAGATTATTAGATTTTAGAAAATAAAAATATCTGGGTTTAAATTTTTAAATGTCTAGCTTTGATTAAGAAATTTGATCAAAGCGAGACAAATGTAAACACATTTGTGTAATAAATAAAAAAATAATTTTAAATTTCAACCACATAAAAGCATATTTTCATTTGCTACAAGTTTTAATGAAAAAAACTTAAATAAATGTTTACATTTTCCTCTTTTTATTTACAAGTAGCCCACGTGGCTCTTCATTAAAACATTAATGTTTACCTAAAGTTATTTGCAAGTTAAGAAAAATTATACTTAGTTGATAATTCATCAAGACAAAAATTTATCAAATTTACCTTGGACAATAATCAATATTTCTCAAGAACTAACTATTTATTTGCATTATTTTCATTAGACTTGCATTAGTTAATTAAAAATTTAAAAAAATTTCTTCACATCATAATCTTTCCAGTACACTAAAATCTACTTAAAAGTCTACTTTGTTGATTTTCAAAATTATAAAACAAAACTTAACGTTATGTGGTTTGAAAGGAATTTTTAAGAACAAAGTTATGCCACTATACCTACATAACACGGTTATCGTGACAATTGAGTGGAATTCGTCTCGTCCCAGTCTGTTAACGTTTAAACTACAATTACAATCAACTATTTGCAATGCATCGTTAACACGTAATGTAAGTAATCCAAACCGACCCGTTAAGTTCATTTTTATAGCTTGACGAATATTTATTCACCGCTTGTAAACAACTGAAGGCGAACGAGAATATACTGATTGAATATCAATCGCCATAAGGTGTTCAACCGCGTTTCCCGGATTCAGGGCTCGAAGAATCCATAGTCTGCAATATATCGGTTGCTTTTGAAAAATACAAAGCTAAATTGTACATCATTTATCGGCGTTGATTTGGAAAACTTAATTACGTAAAGAAGATAATTTATTAAGGCGGTGGGTCACCTGAGCCTCTTGTTATTTTGTTAAATTTTCCACATGTCTGCATCGTTCAACGTTTTGGAAAAAAATTGAAAATATCCAACTTTTGTAAGTATTACTGATTATTTCTTCTTCGTGCTTTTTGGAGGTAATGGCTCTTTTTTAAAGTTAAATAGATTTTTGTCTATCTAACAATATTCTAATATATTAATATTATGCCCATTAAAATAAAATAAACTCTGCTAAAACGACAACTGATCAATAATCATCAAGTTTAAACAATTACCCATTTTAGGTTATACCCCTATGAGACTCGAAAACCAAATAAAATTCATTAAAAACGTATAAATTGTAATCGATCGACAACCTATAAAAATTACCGGTGTATGTAAAAAAAAAAGCAACAAATTACAAATCATTTTTATTAATTTATTAAAGCCTAAAATTGTCGATTAATTGTATAAAAAATGTTTAGTAAAACTTACATGACACAATTGGTTACAACTATTATAAGTTTATCACGCCCTATAATTTAAGGTAATAGCATAATAGACAATATAGATAGAATTGGAGGCTGACAAGTGATTGTAACTTGTAAGTGGTCCTTCCGTAAAAAAAAAATGTATTGTGCATTTAATATGTTTGTGTGTGAAATTAAGCTAAAGTACTGTTACTTAAGCCTATTTTTCGGTTGAAATGCCTACAGGATAATACGTGGGAGAAACGATAAAGTTATATAACAAAAAGACAATAGTTACTATTGTAGGTACTTACTATTGTTACATTCTATTGGGGAGGAGGGTCAAATCCCGAAAGTTGTGTAATCGGATTGCTCAAAATCGGTCATCGGAATGCTGAATAAAGCCATTACACGTGACAGAGGATTACTATGTTCATTACGGACGTTGATGACAGGACACACGCATGGAATTAATATCCATAAACACTACATTATTCTACGATTAAATCTGTTTTACCTTCTCGTAGGATATATCATTGGTTGACTATTATATACTACCAAACGACCGTTTTGTACAATGATGAGTTGTTTAGCACTAGATAAACTCAATAACAGAAAAAAATTTGAATAAACGGTAAATAGTGTCGTTATACAATAAACAAAATTAATGTTTCCTCTCAAATACAAAATTGTTGGAAATTTAAAAATACAATTATTGTATACATTTTATTACCATTAGTTATAATTATTGTAAAGTAACATAAGCGAATAAATAAGAATTATTTGTATGTTTCATTAATCATGCTTATGTCAAATTTCGTCATTATTATTAAGTCATAATTTTCAAGGACAAACCTCCACTATATAGTGATTATAAGAACTTAATGTTTGGACAGACATACTGACAAATTAGTGTTATTAAAACAACCCCAATGATAACCATCTAAACGCAAGCCGTTTCTTTGTACACTGATAAAGGATTATTATTTATATCCCATCCTATCTACAGATTTCCTGTTGGCCATATATTTACGCTAAATTACATAATGACAGTAGTAAAGCCTGTAAAATATATACGTTTTCGTACATTTCGGATAATTCGTTAAGCCTTGTGGCCGTTGCCCTCATTTAACCTCCGTCGGAAGTCTTTCGACCAATGATTGAATGCGTGCTCACCGATCGAAGCCCTTAACGACTATTCTTGAACGAATCAGAGTCTTTTCTAGGTCGAAAAATAGACCTAGCTGATGTTGTACTGCCTTATCCTCTAAAGTTTCCACGTCATGCGCATTGCCCGAGTGCATGTAATAATGTACCTTCTACTGAACCCACGCATGATTTTCACCAATGCCCCCTTCTTCTTTGAAACCAGTGCCAGAATAAGATTCAACGCTCTCTTTTCCACGGCAATGGCGATATCTGCGCTTAATTCGCTTCACTAACCTCGTGTAAGGTGAACCGCTCGAACCACAATAGCTACTAACACAACTGCTCCAATACTCTTTCACGATTCAAGTGTCAAAAAGTTTACTCCGAGTAACGTGGCGATAAGGTGTCAAAAAATGCACACAAGTAAGTACAGCAGATGAGCATCGATTTATTTAGTTTGATTTAAAATTTTAACGGTATTTGACTAGTAAATTGTATACTTGTGCACTTCTTATGCGCAAAAATTAAATATGTATTTTCAGCATCCCTAGTTCACCTCTATTAAATAGTAACTTAAATCATTTATTACGAATTAATGTTTTACTAAAAAAATTATAGATTATCACATCGTCACTTGGCGTAAAAATACCTACACAATTTTGGATAAAACATATTTTTGGTACCCCAAGAATCCGAAAAAAATGATTTTCATTACAAAGAGCTGTTAATAATAAATGTATGTGATGTTATAATTATACTATTTTTCTGTTAATATATATATATTTCAAAACTCCTAATCATTAATCAATAGTTGAATGAGTCATTTAAACAAAGACATATGTCATACAATTGCAATTTTTCACTGACCACAAATAACTTAATTATTCCAGAAATTTAACCTATTCTACACCTTTATCTATTTATACATAATATATTTTGCTGAGATCAAAGAAACTGGTCCTGTTTCACAGTAGTTCATCTTAAATGATATACAGGGTATTTTTTTAAGTGATCCACTCAATATAGCATAGGTTTAGTTAGTACTTAATTTAATTTTTTTTCGTAGTGTTTTGACATATCTAATAGCTTAATTTCAAATATCTCTTAATTTCTAATATCTAATACCTTAATTTCCACAATCATTAAAATCCCTTCCAAGTTAATTATTTTGATATAAACTTTGGAATATAAATGATAAATAAATAAATAAGGATAGTTTACTAAAATAGTTGACGATCGATACCACTTTTGAGTCATTTCTATTAGAGATATTAAAGTTTAAGAGTTAGGAAGGGAGAAGAAATGCGCGCAGAAAAAAATAACACTTCACTTCACCCTTCCTCCCGTCCTAAGCTTTAATCTTTAATAACTTTAAAAAAATTTAACCAAAACATGGTTATTGAACAGTCATAATGTGTAGTGAATTATTTTAAATCTCAAAAACGTTAATAAATAATATATATATATATATATATATATATATGTATATATATATATAAATATCACCTAATACATATAATACATATAATAATATATAGTACATCACCTAATAGTTTTAAAAGTTGATACAAAAATAATTTGGTGGGGAAGGGGTGGGTTAAAAATATAAGAGTTTATGGAAAATTAAGATCACGGTGTATAAATCACTACGAAAAATAAAAAAATTCACTAATTAAACCCTATGAGATATGAGTAGATCACTTTTAAAAAATCACTCTATATTTATATTTTTCAATAGCAGTATCAAGATAAAATTAATTAAAAAACAAAAAGTACTTATAAATTAAAAGGGTTATAAAAAGCACAAGTTTGAAAGTTGTCGAAACATACTTAAATTAATATGTACATAATTTCCTAATGTAATAAAAAGTATTAAGTTGGTAAAAAAAAAAACAATTAAAGCTCGTAATAGTAGATTATTATAATACAAAATGAATGTTACGTACCCATTTCATTATTCATAATTATTTGTTATGTAAAATACATGACCTAATCTATAGTAATTATTATTACTCGCTGTACCGTCACAGTCCACGATCATAAATTATATGAACTGAATAGGTTTCTACCTAAATGAACCTATAAATGAATGCAATAATACAGTTTTATTACTAACATTTTTTTTCTAGGGTCAAACTTTTTTTTAGGAACTTATCCCATTTACGGGGTTACCAAGTATTTTTTTATAAAATCACTTTTATTGACTAAAATAACATTACGGATACAGTTCAACTGTTGAATCGAATATAACATGGTATCCGTTTGTAGTAAAATAAACCACTATATCAAGTAATAACGCACATTAAAACAATAGCTAATAAAATCCAAAAAAATATTCATAGAAATTGCTTTATACGATTTTGCAGGCCGCCATAAAGAACGCAAATTGGAACGAATTTAAATGGGGTTGATTTATGATGCTATTCTGTATAATATATTATTATTTCAGAAAACCCAATAAATTAGTATGAGATACTATATAAAATGTACAATTTTTTAAGTTTCTGAAGAGAATTGTGTGGAATGTGTGAATTTGAATAATCTTACAAAGCGAAGCTATTTATTTAGATGCTATGCGATATTACGCGTTGATAGAAGTGACCGTAACTACCATAATATCTAAATATCATTGTATTTACGCTAAATGTCTTACGGATATTGTTCTATACTGATTTAGTATGATCCAAAAATTGGTCCTTGGTTAATAGTATTAACAAATTCGTACGGTTTTTTAAATATTTAAACGACAAAATCATACGAAATGAGGTATAATAATAGTTTTTTCGTGTAATTATAAAAAAAAAATTGTACTGTTTTTAACTGCGGTTATCGACCAGATCCTTACCGAGATGTCATGACAGGATAAATACATTAGCCATATATGTAAACAGACTATCACGAACCGTTGACGAGGACAAGGTCGCGGGTGGTGGCCTTGCGTGTGCGCTTTAAACGACGTTTGATTTTTAGGGGACGCGTGGGAAGATTATGAGATTTACTGGATCGGTCGACCACCGGTGAAATAGACGGACACGTAGGATTGTTAACGACGGTCATAAGTATACATAGGACGGAGTTGTGTAGTTGTAATGATTAATGTCTTATACAATAGACATCTGTGGCGATTCGGTGTCAAGGATAACGTGGAAAACCCATTTAGTGACCGCCATTACAACAATAGCGGCGGTTACTTCCGATTATAATCGTTACCCATTATTAAAATTAAAAAAAAACAAAAAACCTATAGCTAGACGTTCATTGTTACATTATTTTCATTTTCGACAACTGACCAAACAGCGTGACCAAATAATCCACCGGCGTCATTTGCGTTCATTTTATTCTTCCCGATTGCGAAATATATAGCTTTTTACTTATTCTTGAACCTTAACCCAAGCGTACGTTATCTCATATCTCTTCGCTTCGTTGTACATTGCATCTATTAAAAGTTTCGAAAAATTATTCACTTTACATAAATCTTGAACGTATAGCGCACTTAATTGAACATCTTGCTGCAACCGTTCTATTAACTGAATTACCTATCCAAAACGAGCATCCCCATTAATATTTTTGTCCGTCAAATAAGATTTAAAAAATTCTCAAATAGAGAAACAACTTTTATTCAAAGTGAGCTGTCCACCGTGTGGGTTGCCAAGAGATAGGTGAATTTTAAATAACATTTATAACTTGTATTAGAAAAGTTTAAAACATTTTTTGCATAGACTTATTTAAAGTTTTTATAGTGTAAGTTGTAACATTTTAGTCTGTATAATTACAGAATTCATCATCATTATGCGAGCTTAACAGGCCATGAACGCCCAACGCTGCCATCATAAGATACTACTAGACGTTACTAGACGGATTCGCTATTCATATTTATATTACAGTATTACACTACTTAAGTTTTGAAATCGGTGAAAGTTAAATAAAATGTAATGGATTTGTGTCAATCCAGACGAGTGAGAGATGTATAACAAAAGTACTGATTTGGATGTTAGTTTAGAGAAAACCTTTTTTCTATTTTATTAATAAAAATAACGTCTTGTAGTAATCGATTTTATTCTATTTCTTTTTTTTTAAACTCTCTAAAAGTTAGTTTGTTCCGAATGGCTTAATTCGTGGCGTTCCAAGCTACACCGCCAAATTCCAAAAGCGAACAAAGCAATGCCGAATAAAGAACTTTAATACAACTAGGACTGTTGTTTAAAAGCAATCAGTTTATATTTATTTTCCAAATTTTCCTATTGTACTGATATTTACCTTAATGATCTCGTACTATAGATCAAAAAATCGTTTAGCTGGCAAAGGATATCGAACGTAACGCGAAGCGGCGCTTCGAGCAGATACAAAATTATTTGCCTTGTAGTTTTGACAATTTCATACATGAAAGAGATGCCATTTTCCTCTTTTTTATCTGCAAGTCCGCCGGCCCCACTCCAGAATAACGAAAACGAAATGGATATTTTCATATTCCGCATTCAGCCAGACCCTGCGGGTGTGCACGGTCTGAATCGAATTGTTACGCTCGAATCGTTTTCTTGTTAGTAAACTATACTGAGTACGCACTGTTTGGCTGGCACGTTTACATAGTAGGCAACATGTTTTTAATTCAAAATCAATGTTTTCCTTTTCGCCGTTTTAATATTACGCATTTTTCTCGGCCATATTGTTTTAGTGAGAGATTATGTCGTGAAAAAAGGCGGCCGGAACAAACTAATTTCCATACACTGCTTTGGCTCGAGAAATATTAAATAACTATAAAGATACATCAACCGTTTCGATATTTTTATAGTAACGAAATACTATGTTATGCGATAGGAATTAAAATACGCTATATCCACCTCTGTTTTCGTCGTATACATTTTCTTTGATGCTATAATATCCTCTAGATGCACACATTTAATTACCGATAATGTCGCAAACTAACTACTCGTATGAGATCTTGGCGTTTCTTGAAAATTATACATAATGATCACATCGCAAGTTTATCAGAATTCATTTTCTCGCAACTGCTGTGTAAACATTGTATCTTTGAAGAAATGACTTAACTTTAAACTTTTGAACTTCATACTTTCATCAGCTACTGTATATGCTAAGTAAAAATACATTTCAAGATTTCAAACTCAAAGATTTAGTATAGTACAAAAAGATTAAGCAAAAGTACTATTTTTATTACTGGCCATTGTTTCAATATCGATACTCGATTCGAATATGCGTCTCGTCAGTTGTATTGTTATACATCTGATAGTTTGTCTTTAAGATTTGATGAAAAACTTTCACGTTTGCGTCATTTCACAAACATCTTATTTTGTTCAATAACTACAATAGTTACAACTTTTGTCTAACGAGTTCGTATAAAACAAAAAGTCCAACAAATGACAACTAGTTACTGCTAAAAGTTATAACGCAACGCGTACCGTTCACTTTATTAATCCCTTTTGAGTATACTATAATCTAAAATGTTTTTCCAGTTCAAATTTAGGCCATTTCGGCACGTGCCGTGTTAAATGACGTAATAACAATTATATAAACGATCGTTTAAGTGTTAAAACGATTTTTGAATTGGGTCATTTCTTCGGTATCATCAACGCAGGATATCAGCGTTATAACCGGCTAAAACATTTCACGGCACATGATCTCTTGTGAAGCCAACTCGTGTTACGGTTTTTCAACGCCAAATCATTATTATTTTATACGAAAAAAAACAATACACATTTTTACATTCAGCGGATAAACACCTTTGTACAATGTGTTCGTGTGATATAATAGCTGCGGTACGAACATCAGTGCAAAATTACAACGCGTATGGAGAAGTAGATAATTATGAATGAATTTCGCAACAATCTGAATGAAAACCAACAGACCACAACATAATATTCCCTCTGAACGTCCGTATTTGGCAACGGTCGGGCAGGTAGTTTAAACGAGACTATACTTGCCTCATAGTCCAGATTTATAAAATATCTTCAAAAAAAAAAATCTTATTCGTTCAACTCGAAAAATAATCATGTTTTCCGTCGAGCAAATTCTAATATTCGAGTATTTTTTTCTCAATACATTACGAAGAAATGTACATTAGTGCGATTCGTTGAACGTAAAAATGCTGCCATGACAACGTAACAGATCCATTACAGCTCTATGGTCCATAACTCATTTTTCAAATTGACATTTTTCTCGACAAAAATACATACTTTTAAAATTATATTTTTGCATCTATAAATTAAGCATAATTCGTTTTTATAAAAAATCGAATTATTCAAATATTATCAATGACAATATTATACGCGTGTTATAGTATTTTCATCATCATGACATAATCAAACATCTAAATTAATTCTTCTTGATAATATATGTGCACAAATAATAAAATTAAATATAACACTTTGTTTTAGGGCAACGGTTACACCTAAAAAAAAAAAACAAAATGCGCCTATTAGTTTAAGTTTAAATTGTTTTATTTAAGAAATGATCAATCCCACAATACGTCTCTTGGTAAGTAGCTACAAGGTAATAATACATTTTCCGTAAGGAATACAACTATTTTATTCCACCGCGAAACTACGAATAAAGCGTAGTACTGTAATCAAATCTGTGTACATAATACTGCGTGTCTCTATTAAAATATAAGTTGCTACGACTTGAAAATGTAATCGAATTTATTATTATAATGACCATTATGGTTTTATTCGATTGCGCACATCCTAAGATATTATGGAAAATATAAAAGCAGTTGACGTTCGAAACAAATCCGAGTGTTTTGAAAATAAAATAAATTGGTTTCGTGCGCCCATACAACACAAAGGTAGCAGGCAGTTAATTTGATAAAGTCGTATCCGAAAACTATTGCAATAAACATTTAGATGTGAACCCATTGGAGGATAAATAAATGTAGACAGCACTTGAGCGCGGATAACGTTTTAGAGATATTAAATTCATTTCGATTGTAATGTGCACACACGTTGTACATTTTTCACTTGTTTTCAGAAATAAATGGACCGTTAGCATTAGCGGTTTTGGTTTCGCTTTCAGCTGCCGTTGTCTTGGGCGATGATGATAAATGGGTATGGGGAAAATCCAACGGGCAGACTCGGGCTGATTCCAGAATCGGTTCGGCGTCTTCAGACGAAGTGCCGCACGTGGCCAGACCTATCTTACGAGACGTGACTGATCGCAGGCCAAATCTACTCTTCCAACCAGCCAACAATCCACGGTTGGATACCAAATTTTACAGGTATACACTTAAGGAATCAAATACATTTACAATTATGGTTAAGCTTCACGTTTACGGTTACGATTGGGTTTGGACGTTTCTGTTACTGTCTGAACACTTGTATATCTCTATCTGAATCTGAGGTTAACTCAAAAATCAGGTCACACATTACCCATTTTTGACATTGACCGTAAATCGTATGGTTTTTTTTTTTTAAGGGACGAGCCCCTGAGAGGGTCTAGGTACGAAGTGAACGAAGACTTTTTGCTGGACCGGGAACCGTTAATCCAACAGTCGGCAAATAACGCACCAGCGACTTTCGCAAACAGACCGTTCGAGAGACCATCGAGGCCTTTGTCTGGAGGTGGACCGGTCTATCAACCGACGCCGCTGTTGAGGCCGCAGAGACCTATCGTAGACTCGGTCAATTCTCCGTCTAAAAGACCTTTGCCGGCGGCTAGTGAATCAGCCGGATCTGCTGTGGGCATTCTTACCGGACCGGTGCCATCGTGGCAGGGCCCAGCGTTACTCAAGAACGGCGACCCGACCAACTACGAAAAGTGCAAATGCTCGTTTTCGTTCAATTGTAAATCGCCCGGTATCAAATTTGTAAGTGAACACACAAATACATATTATTATTTTATGGTGTCCGTTTCAAGATGTTTTATACTATTTCTTAACCATCTCTAGAGTAGAGCATTATTTCAATGAAAAAATTGATTAATCATTCGAGTAAATACAACTATATACTATTATTCAAGTTTTGAATCAATCAACTTGATTTCGAATTGGTTGTCGGATAGCAAAAATTATTCGATTGAACTACTATATTTTATCCAAATAATACGTTATTGCCGATCGGTTTTTTGTATTTAATTCGATTTGTTTTAGTTATTTATGTAACTACGTTTTGCCCAACTCTAGCCATTTCACACGTGCGTCGGAATCACAAGTCTCGAGATTACCGGAGTGTATAATATTCTAAACCGAACTCCACATCTAACTTTTCGAACGCGGTGCATAAAAGACGTACATATTTTCCAAATTAACGTAAATAACTGTACCGTTAACTTGAATAAGCTTTTATTAAAATGTTACACAGACACACGCTCCTATAGCGATATTACAAAACATCCGTTTGAAAAACTCTACTGTAAATCTACTTAATTTTCTGTTCAGTCACTTGAACCAAATATTACATTTTCTCATTCTATTCGTAGCACAACTTCGTGATTTTCGCTTACACGTCTTATTAAAATATACACACGTTTATGATATTCATGGAAAGACAGTTAAATTTTGTTGGACTATTTGGCGTAAACTGTACAAACATTAAACCACATAAAACACATTTTTATTACAGGGAAGTTGTGACCAAGGAAAGCAATATTGCTGCTACAACGACTTTGATGATCTTAATAATGCGGCAAGCAAGGAAGTCGACAGATACGGAGTGGGAGACCGTAGCGAGCCCATACCTTCCGTGCTGGTAGGTCCGGCCGCTAACAGACCTGGCTTGAGGCCAGGTATATACGGTCAGGTGGCCAACAATAATGTAAGAAACAAAAAGAATTGTAAGTGCATGGAAATCGCATATTAATACTAATTAAGGCTTATTTTTAACGTACCAGAATAATCTTTTACTACTGTCTAAAATTATATCTAAGGTCTTGAAGTCAAACGAGACATGTTTCATGGTCGTTCTATATACTCAACTTTTTTTCCCCTCGAAGTTAACATAGCATCGGGTGGGGCTAATTTGCAAAGACTGCCACTCGGTTCGATCGTCGATTAATCAAACAAGATATATTCTTTTTATTTGATATATACTCATTGTTATTTAAGCACTTTATTTATAATTTTGTCTTATTAACAATGTTTTAATTAGAAAACTGCTTAGAGATACAATACATTTCACACCTATCAAATTAAACGTGTTATGGCTATTTCTAACAGTTCCTTTATTCAAACCACATAAATAATACAAACATAATACTTAACAACTAAAATAACTAACTTTACCGGGAAAAAAAGGCAATAGAAAAATTGTAAAGTTAAGTTATGCTTTTTGGAACGGTATAAACTTTTAATTCCAAGAACAATATTTTTTATTGTTCTAAAAGCCATAACGTTTTTTACAACTGCAAACCCAGCTAAGCTATTAAAATATCATACTATTAATCATTTATATTAACATTTGTTTGTAGTTATAACAAATAATGTACATTTTAGCTTAGTATCGTTTCAATCGGAGAAAGGGTGGAGTGAAGTATTATTTTTATCTGTGCGCATTACTCAACCGCACTCCCGTCCTAAATTTTAAGCTCTAATAATTTTCAACATTTTCAGAAAATTATTCTTATTTTAAAAAGTTAGTTAAATATTTGCGTTCACATTTAAGAGTCAAAATTCGATAACGCTCTGGAAAATACTAAAAAATATAAATATTTGATAACTTTATAATATTGTACAATAACATAAAAAAAGTATTTGAAACCTACAAAATCGAATTCATTTTCCGAGTAAACGATATAGCAAACACGTGGATTTAAATTGCATTTGAGTTTTCATGTTTAAATTCAAAACGCTGAGAGAAAATATTATATCGTATTTGTTGATGTTTGAGTTTTATATATTTTTTATAACTTTATTTTGATGAAAAACTGGGAAAATATTTATTATTAATTATAAAGAAAAACTATTTTTTTTTTTAATTTTGTTCAATTATTTACAAATGTATAAATGACTATTCTCTGGCTTCTTATATCAATATAAAGTACCTTACAATATGTGCATAAATATGGTGTTTGTAACTTTTCATTCACATAACATTATTCCACCTATTATGCCCGGTGTTCATCTTGCATAGAAAGTTTAAATTGCATTGTGATGCATGTCATGGCTCATGTTTATATACTGAACTCCATTACATTAACGTTAGTTGAAGTGAAAAAAGTCTTCCAGATAATCACAAAAATTATTTATAAAAAAAAACTCCGAAATATTCAAGTCTTGAGTTAATTGTATTAGCCAGAACAGCCAGCGAGAGATAATTGGTGCACACGCAAAATACTCAGCTTAGTCCGTTTAAAATTAATTTAAAAATCCTTAGTAGTTAATGTACTCTTTATTAAAAGTAGTAATGTACATACATTATAAGGTTGCGAGTAGTTTAAAATTTAAAAAAAAAGTGCCTTAAACCCATCTCGAGTCATAAAACTGTCAATGGAAAATAATAACTTAGTTCTATTAATAAATTTAAGAGTTAAGTTAAAAGACAATAAATAATTAAATAGTGTACAAATGTTTAAACTTTTTTCACTGTTGATATTTTTCAGGAATTTATTGACCGGCCAGGTTTTTTGGGTAACAATGGTTTTCCGGGCGAACCTTTCGTCAACCGGAGGCCGTATGACAATTATAGAACAAACCCGTTTATAATTCCGTGAGTTTTAGCGAAACTCTAAATAAAAAATGTTAAATATACACAATTCAATGTTTCCTAAGTAAAATTCAAAAACGAGTTTTATTTTTAATTTATTTTTATTATTTTCAACAAAAAAATTGTTGTAGAATATTTTAATTGTGTACTATTTTATAATATAGAATAGAGATATTACACGCTATTTATACTAAATATAAGTATTTTTTACTTGATTATTGAATATTATATATTATATTATAATTATTCTCTATAAACTTTAAAACCCTTATTGTTTTATATTTTAACTCAATAATATTAATGTAATGTTTAATATTATTTATGGTTGCTTGTAGTAATACTGACATTGTTTTCTTTAATGAACTAAACAAATTTATTGACATTCGTAGTGGTCTGTTTTTATTAATTATTTGTACAATTAAAAAAAAAATAAGTATTAATATGCTGTTGGGTATAATATTATTAATTGTTTAAAATCGTATATTCAACTTTCAGTTAAATAGTATACCTGCTATATATTTATACAAAAATGTATGTTTGAATATTAACTTATGGAGAGTATATTTTATAATAAACTTTTTTTTTATACGAATTTGTATTATAAAAAACGAACCTAGAATAAAATTTGATTATATTACAAAAAAACATTAGCAGTTTTTTTTACATTTTGTAGATTGGACAAGTCAGCAAGTTTAATTTTTAGCTTTATGCGGAGCTGAAAAGGTGTTGTCTTTACAATTATGTGTTTTTTATTTGTTTATTTTAGTCGAAAGTTAAATTCAAAAATTTTAATCCAACTTTGGGGTACTGTTTAAAAATATAGTAGTAAAGTGTCGTTCGACTGCTGCTCGATTAGTAAAAATATTGGTACGAATAAACTACATGACGATTTTTTTTTTTATTATGATAGCTAACTTGATTTTATTTGTCCACAAATAAATTGTATGTTAATGAATTGTAATAAATATATATTATACAATATAAAACTAAAAATGTCTATATTTTAAATATCAAAGCATAGATAAAATATCAAACAAATATATATTATGATGAAGATTAAATCCTAGGTAACTAAACAAAATAAATATGCTTGCATAAATATTTACCGTATAAAAAAAACTAATAATTATAATATTATAATGAAACAAAACATCATAAAAAATTATGGTATCGATTATGAATAACTATAAACTATTATGAATAACTTCATTCACGGTAAAAAAATAACATTTTCGACTAGCTATATCGCAAGAACGAGAAATGTATATGAAAAAATTGTAAAATATCATGCCAACTCGTTGTGTTACCATCATGTAACGGTTAGCATTTGCCGGGCCTACACGACGATTTATTGGGTAACTTTTAAGAACATAAATTGTAAAGTATGGAGAGGAAAGGAGACGCCAATATACCCTCTCGCCATTCATAGTGTTATTTATATACACGTAAAAACTTCAAAGACAACAACTTGCATGAATCTGATTACTAAAAACATATAACAGCGACTTCTGCTTTCCAAACGGGTAAACATTAAGTAAGCCCTTCTTCATGAAAGAATAGTTTTATTTTGGTAAATGTGTTCGCTTAGTTATTTAATTTATCTCCACTATGACTTTTTAATTGATAGAATCAACAATTGAGAAGGAAACGCAAATAGGTTTACCGAAATGGTTACATTTGTTTAAGAGTGACATGAAAATTTATCGATTTTCCTTCTGCCATTTAATATTTTTTTAAAAAAATTAAAATTTAATGCCATAAAAACTATTCAATTCTTATGTTTCCGTGTGTGGTGTTAACTGATTTAATGTAATTTGTATTGGCATTGATTATAAATACAATTGTATTTATATTCAATGGTATTAGTTAAGTTTTGGGGAAAAAAACATTAATACAATAATTGGTAAACCGATGTCCGGTACTGCAGTTTACCTAATTTGGATCAGTTAATACATGTTTGGAATTCGAATGAAACCTAACTCAGAAAGTTAAAAAAAAATACATTAAATATTGTAAACTACGTTAATATAGGAACATGGGAAAAACAGAATTAGTTTAATGTGCGTTAAAATTGGTTCATTTTTTAACTACACTTCGTAGTTGTGAATATTATGAATGTATAAATTATTTTAGTAACCTAATTACCAATTTAGTCTGATCTTTATTAGTTCTGAAGTTGAATGCGTGTAAACACTGGTTAAAAATGTTTGCTGTATAACTCTGGATTCAAACTAACTTAGATTAACTCCAAGAATTCAACAAATATGTAAACGAATAATTGTATTGTTAAGAATAACTCCATGTAAACGGAAATGTGAAATGGATTAGTTAAAAGTGCATACCTTCACACATTCGATAAAAGCCGTGCATGTAAACATAAAATAGTTAGGTATTTACTTAACTGAATAAATATTTAGTTGCTTTAACTAAATACTTAGTTGGCCTAACTATTTATTTAGTTTACGCAACTATAAATTTAGTGTGCCTCAATATCAACCAGAATTAGAGTAAATCCAACTATATAAGTAGTTGTTCCGAGTATAGTGTATAATAAAACATTTAAAATATTTAAACCTATTTAATAAAATATAAATTATTAAACTAAATTATCCAGATAATATAGAACTATATCCTTTATTATATGATTGCTCCTATAACTTTTATTTAAAATAAAGCAAAAGTGTGTATACAAGTAGCGATGTATAAGTAAGCGACTTACCTATTGTAGTTATGACTATTATAGAGTAAAACAAAGCGCCGGTAAACGTCCACTGTCTTATTTCAGTATCTTCTTCCCCATCCCAGCCACTTCGTCGAATTGCAAATATAAGATCTTTTTCGAATGTTAAAAGACGTTCAGTCACATTTGCTGTAAACGTTTCTTGTTGAAGTACGGCTAATTCTCTGGTGAAAGTCCACAAATCCGTTGTCACATTACTGCGCATCACAGCGATACTTTTTTTTACCTTAAAAACAATTTTTAATAATTAATTAAACCATCATTTCTACAAGTCTTTCGTAGACAATCAGAATCCTGTCATATATGGTACTAATGAAATCGTACTAAAATTGTTATAACAGCGGTATAAAACAAACAAGATTGTCTATTGTTAAACAAATTATAAACAAATTTCAGAACCTTAAATTAATTACTATCCCCACAATATAGCGTAGGAAGTAGGTAATATTAGTTAATCGAACAATTATGTAATAAATCTTTTAACTTTGTTTCTTTAATAAAGTAAAATTATAGTCTAATGTTGTTTAATAATCCTTTGTTGGATTCGGCTAAATTTCTGAATTTATTAGAACATCAATTAATAATTATGAATTGAAAAGTTTATAAACAAAAGCTATTATAAGTTTTTTTGTTTTTAAACCTCATGGCATTCGCCTTTTAACTACATAAAATAAACCATAGGCTCATTCGATTAAAAAAATCTAATTTTAACAAACATCTCTTTTAATATTTTTTTTTAATTAAGAATTAACGAAGAAAACTAAAGGTGTTAAAATTGTACAGGTTTATTTTAATATTATATTTATTGCAAATAATTAAAAAAAATATATTTATAACTGAATAATGACTATAAAAACCGCTACCAAATCATTGACAAATAACATCCTTAAAAACAAATTCTACTTAAACTAGAAATTAAATCCCGATAAAACCAAAAGAAATTTCTTATCAAGGTCTAAAAGTTAAAGGTAAGTAAATAACAAAAATAGTCATAACTTTAACTGCTAAATTTTTTACACATTAAGCCCAGTTCAATCAATTTGAATAATCAATAATTAAATTAAATCAAAGATCTATTGTATTTTTGTATTTAAATATTATTAATTTGTACTTAAAGCTGTACCAAATATAACTATATATCGCATTTTTAAAATTACATTTCGGTATTATAAAATGGTATAATATTATGTGGTATGTATAAAATATATATTTAATATATTCAACACAAATAAGTACAAAATTAACACGAAGGATTTTCGGCTAAAGCCTCGAAATTAGAATTAAAAAACACAGGGAAAATTTTTAGTTATTTCTTCCCAAAGAAAACGCCTTAGGCTTTAAGGGTTTCCAGATCAAAGTATACGAAGAGAAGGGGATTTAATTAAATTAATTTAACCCTTTTCATATAATAATAAGTTGCTTAGGCCCTTCACAAATAAAATTACTAAATCATAAAGGGGTTTGTGTGCAAAAGAGCGATATAGGTAAACCTAAACTACTTTGCAAACGTATTTGATTAATTTTGACTTTCTTAATATATATTTTATTAACATATAAACATAATTTTAGTACTATTTATAAGTAAGTAAACTAAAAGTTTAAAACGTCATATAACATAATAATCATAATAAAAATGCTCTGTCTGTGGGTGTCATGTTGTATAGAAAACGTTTTGGTGTAAAACATTTATACTATTTTATCCATCATCCGGTAATTTACCAGGACTCTACAATAACAATAAAAATAAACAGAAATAAATAAAATAATATAGCAAATGAATATTACTTAAATTAATACAAATAGTACGTTAAAACTTTTTTTTTTTTTTTTCTATTTATTAAAGAGTATTTACAATCTATGCTGCAAGGCATAATAAGCAAATAGTTACATTGTTATGTATACAGAGAGAGGGAAAAAAAAATAAACAAATAGAAACGGTGATTTGATATGAGGAGGGAGGCTATCCAGTAATAGAACCCTACGTGATTTTTGTTCTAATTATTTTTAATTAGATTTGAATTATTGTATTAACAGATCTCGACACCAATGTCTTCGGAGTCGGCGAGGTGGATTTCCGGGGAGTGAATTAGAAGCAAGTTGAGATATTAAAGGGTTAGAATACGTTTAAACTTAAGAATCAAATTGTCAACTTGGAAGATATTTTTCTCAATATTCAAAAGGACTTGATAAACTTTTTAGTTTAAAGTAAAATTAATAAAAATCAAATAATATACATTTTTTTATGACACAAGTATTAAGTAGTAACGGCTTGGTGTGAAATGTTCGGGAAAGCCTGTCTATAGTTTTACAACCGTCTGCTAAAAATACTTTTTAAAATTGTACTTAAATACTTATTTATAAAAAGTATTTTGAAAAAATGTGGCAAAAATTAATATGGAAGAAATCTTAACACAAACTGTATTTAACCACAAAAACCGAATATTTATTTTTTTAATTCGCTTACTGTTACTTTTTTAATTCTGGAATTTAGGATCATTTGTTATTGCTTGATTGGAGTAATCAATGTTCATTTACTGTCGAATTCATAGTAATCTGAACTACAGGTAAAGAGGCCTCATCACCCTTCATTACCCCCACAATACTGCTGTTTATTAACGTCGTGAGATGTATCAACAATTCTAAATAACCATTAGCCGTCAGCAGTCATTGTGAGAATGAATTTTGAGTAAACATATGTATTAAAAATACATATGGAATATTCGATATAATATACAAGTACATAGATTAGAAAGTATTTTACAAGTACTTATAGATACTACATGTTAAATTATTTAAACACATTTGCTTAAATACATTTATTCAAATAAGCGAATACACGATTGAATTACAAAAATCAAGGCTGATAATATTCTGTTGAAAAATTCTGTGACTTTTGGGATATTATTTAATTTGCTAAATCATAACGATGACACGTTTAAGCTACAAAATATTGCTGAGTACAGGTTTTTTTTAACTGTATCGGGCTTGAAGGGTCAAGATGACGTAGGAACCAGGTTATATCTTTAATAATGCATACTAAATAATAAATATCGACTGATTGCAAAAAAATAATATTTATTCCAGGGAACTATAACTTAATATCAAGAAAATTCATACATTGATATTATAGATTGTTAATTTATTCATAAAATGTAGCAATCTGATTTATAAAGAAAAGACATGGTTAAATAAATCATAATAGGAACACAACTCACGAGAATTATGTTTTATTTTACTATTTGAAAACATGCGGAATATACCTGTTTTTGTTAAATTTTAATACTATTTAATCGTCTCATTAAGCTTGTGACTCATCCATAAAAAATATAAAATATCAATTCGTTAGAATTTTATTTAGTAATTTGTAGAAAGTCAGGTACTTGGTTGTTTCAAGGAGGTTTGTCAGCTTTATCTGTCTTCACTCGGTTTTTTCAGGTTATATTGCAAAGACATTGCATGTTTTTGAAAATTGAAAGGATCTTATGGTTTTCAACCCATTATTATAGAATTGTATACACTATTGTCTTATTCACGTTCCGCTATGCTTTATAATTTCTAGGTATATGTTATCTCTTTTTGCCGTATATATTTATATATTATTATTAGTGATGGGAATCCGAAAATCTGGATTTTTCAAAAAAACGCCATTTAAGCCACTTGAAAATCTTATAAATATTAAATACTATTACAATATAAATATGTGTAGGTACCTAAGTAAAATTTGTCGATAAAAATTTAAAAAAAAAAGACTCTAAACTTTGTCTACGAAATGCTTTTGGATAACGGATTTCAACATATCCGAAATCCAAAAGCAGTTTATCTTTTTGGTGATTTGTTTTATTTTTACATATTTATCAAAAAAATTGTACTTAGGTACACACAGCTTTTTATTGTAAAATTATTTAACACTTATATGATTTTTAAATAGCTGTTTTTTGTGAAAATCCGGATTTTCGGATTCCCATCACTATTTATTATACATGGTTAGCAGTATGAAATGTATAGTATTGATTCATTGGCTTCCTCCAGCGTGAAAGGATCTGCGAGTGTCGACCTCTGGGTTGCTATTTTCTTAAGGTGTGCTAAGCGGGTTTTATTCACAAATATCTTGCAGTTCCTTACCTCCGTAAAAAATCGAGAGAGTAATTAAAATTTGTATACTTTATTAGTATAGTAATTGACACCATTAAATAAATTAGATGAATTAAACATTTAGCCTTAGCTTATATTGAAAGACATCTCATACCTCAGTACCTCACACTAGCAAATTTAAAAAAAAAAAAATGATATTATCTCCAAAACTTTTATAAAGGAATTATTTTCTTCGACTATAATGCAATTTTCTTTTAATCATACAAATAAATATTAATACAAATTTGAACCTCCAACATTTTGCTTTTTTTAAGCAATGACCGATTTGCTTCTACTGATGGCTAATGACAAAACATATATTTTCAGTTCTAGTAATCTTATCTTGGTTGGAGAAGAAAAAATTACAATGCAGACCCTTCCAGAATTTGCACGCACGGTGTAACCGCTTGCTAACAAATACATAACTTCGGTCAAGTACACGCTTACTTCGATTTCGTGGTATTTTTCCAAACGTTCAAAGGCGAAGGCGCCCAGCAGACAGTACAGCACGACCATTGTGACCAGAAGCACGTGTAAGAACAGGCAAGTGAATATCTTCCAGGCGTAATACACCAAAGTCGTGCACCGGTTGGGAGTGTCGTCGTAGTCCATGTCCATCAACATTTTTAACAGGTTTGCTTAAACGCTTCTTTGGAAGTATGCCGGAAGCAAGTAAAAACAGTGTCACCCGCGACCGAACGAGATCTGCATGATTTTGTATTATAAAATATAAAAGCGCGATGGCGTTTAAATCGTGTATTCACTCCGTCGACATTAGTAGGTTTAATAAAAGGTTGTTAAAAACCTTTTTTTTTTAAAGTTATTGTTTTCGTCGATCACCAGCCGTTTTGGACGGGCTCAAAGTGATAAACGACTCCGTCGAGAAGCGAATTGAACGCGGCCGGTCCAGAAATAAAATGCGGTCCATCTGCAGCGGCTGTGACCAAACAAAAATGGATGCCGGCCGCGGTGCCGTCCAACGGACTAGCCAATATTTCCCTCATACGTGTGTACATATTATTATGTATGTATACAATAATAATAAGATGTATTTATAGCACCGCGGTAATTTCTCCCACCGTTTAAGTTAGCATAATATACACTGTACATAATATGAAATTTTGTAGTTTGTTTTCACGCCAACGCCAAAGATAATCGCCCCCTCGCCCACATGGGTTTACTCTTATATTTACAATGCGTGTAAAACCATACAAGGCCTATACGAGTTTGGATTTTTGTTTTTGTTTCTATATGCTGTCATTTTGGTGATGCTCAACAGTGCCTACCTTGCTAACGTTAAGTACATAGGTAATCAGTATTCCGCCGACAGCTGAATTGTAATAGTCCTGTTGTCTATACTTGCCAATAATCGGAGAGACGAACGTTTGTAAAAGGCAACATAGGCGCTGAAGTAAACAAAAAAAAAGTATGAAGTTTAATTTGAATTTTTTTAGCATACCACTCAATCCTTCGATTCAGGCATACCTATGTTTTTTGATTAAATCATTTCAAGATCCCCATACCACCTTTACGTATAACTTTTATGTCTTATAAGTTCGGCTTAGGGCAACATACACGGTGCAACGCAACTATTTTGAATTTCCTATTAACTAACGTTACATTTAAAAGTTTATGTCTGAACCAGTATGAATAAAAAACTAGCTAGAATGTAGTGTCGGCGCTACAAAATTTCTGAGTGCTAAATTATCCAAAACCGTTCGTTCTTCGTATGCAGAGATGTAAAAATATAGATTTGAGGTACTCAAAATAATGTTAAAGGCATACATATTTTGTATTATTCAAACATATTGTACTTCCACTTTTGTATCGATTTGGGATATCTACTCGTGTAAAATTAGTCCAAATATTAAAGATTTTTGAAAAGTTTACTGTAAATTATTGTAAAGTTAAATTAATGTAAATACTAAATTTGCTTAGAGGACAAGAGGTACCCGTGTTGATTTCAGCTGATAAGCGTCCCTGTGATATCTAATGTTATCAGTTATCACCAATTGTTATCAGTCCGCATAATTTAAACTTTTTGTCTTCTTAATAAATATATTTTGTTTTGAATTTTTAACACTTTTTACTTTTATGAATCATGTAAAAAGAAACATTCAAGATCTATAATATTTTTCATAAACAACCGTCATGCATCCAGATTTGTCACCTCATTTGCACACTGATGAGTGCAATAATCTTACTATCGAATTTAACAACTGTAATGTAGATGTAAGTAATTTTAATATTGTTGTTTTTATCAAATTTGAATTGCCTTACAATGTATAATACAATAGTTTAATACATTGTAATTTTTGTAAAGAATTTCACTAATCTTAATAGATAGTGGCGTCGTGGCCGAGAGGGTTACCGCGGCAGTGTCTCTACGCACTAGCCGTGGTTCGAATCTCGGTCGCTGGCCGTTTCTCTAGCTGGGCGGACAACCGTCTGGAAAGAGAAATGGCCATCTGACTGGTGCGAAAGGCAACGGGAAACCACCGCACCATAACCACTTCCCCAGGATGGCAACTCTTGTCTCTAGTAGAGCAAGAGATGTCCAAACCAACCTAACAGGTCATAGACTAAAAATAAAAAATAGATAATGTGTAATATAGATTTGTTTTTTTAATTTTACAGCATAAAATCTTGAGATTTTTCGGAAGTTGTGACAAAGCGTATGACCGAATGGTAAATTGCTTTCATTTAGAGGTAATTATTAACTGTTTACTCTTTTTCTTTAATATTATAAATGCTTAAAAATAATTTAAGAAGACGTACTAAACTATTCTTTAGTCTCCATACTGTAATTCTCCGTTACACCCTTTTCTCCCCTTAATTTAATTTTGACTGTCCATACTTTTAATTGACCATTTGTTGTATGATGATGGAATACTATGATTATCTTCATAATAGTTCAGAGTATACTGTAAAGCGCTGCTGAGTGTTGTTAACAATGTTGAAAAAACTGCTGTACAGTTGAAAATCAATTTTTTCTTTGTTGGAAAATGATGTATTATATAATTTGTAGAATAAAAATTATGGTTTTTTTTTTTTTGAATAATCTGACATGTTTATATATATATATAGTCTTGTAGGTAGTAGGTACTGTATTGTAGTAGGTAATACAAATAATAAACATAAAGTGGCTCGTTCCAAACCTATGCCACTGTTGCCAAATATTTATAACCTTTGTTTTTTTTTATTATTACTTATTCTTTTAGCGTAAAGCCAAACAGCTTCAAAATAATGAAAATGCATTGAAACGGCAAGCAGAAATTAGACAAAGAATATTGAAAGAGATGAGAGCAGAAAAGGAAATGGGTATAATTGATGATTAACATGTACATTTTGTAGGTTATAGAAATTATTAAATAAACATTACTTATTTTTTGTGGAGACTAGTTTCTTTATTTCCTTTCAGTACATAGGAACTAAAATACGATAAAATAAAAAATCAAACTACTGTGCAATGATATCAATCCAAATTACAAGCACACTATGTCCCTTAAATATTTTTAATATTAAACATAATAATAAATACAAACAATAACAATTATTTCTAATACTTGGTAACAGTAGTTTCATTACAACAATTAGTCAGAGTTATTAACATTTTCATCATCTTCTTTGTTATTAGGTTTCTTTAGTAAAGTGCTCAACATTATTCCCAAAAACATAATCCAACCAATGTGGTTATTTGAAATAAATTTCTCGCCACAGTCTGCTGGGTTATTGATATCCAAAGTTTTGATCTATTTAACAAAACATTTGATGTTAAAAATCCTAAAAAACTTAGTAAGTCATTTTGTTTGCCTAACTAAAACATTTTGGCTAAAATTAATTTAGTTAATCAAAGGTATCTAAAAAAGGAAAGGAAATTTTTATAATTGTATGATCTACAACGGAATTTGATTTTTACTGGGTAATATCTGTAACATTATACAGCGGGGACAATATTTTCAAGAACACATTATTTAAAAAAAAAAAATTAATTACAAGTATCCCAGTTTTTGTAAGCGAGTATCCCCCAAAATAGCTGGTTATCATAAGCTCTATTCGCTATAATTGGTTATTACTTGATTCCACATATGACCACCGGACACACATACTGCCATATAATACGGCCACATTTGGCCAGTACAAAGACCACATGTCATCAGACTACTTAATGACATGGCGGCAAATGAACCGAGCCACATTTTACTATTTGTTCCGAAAAGAACGGCTGTAGACTTAACATTGTGTTTTATGTCATCTTTGCAGTCCTGTAAAGTTCACAGTTATTTTATTAAAAGGTCTGTAAATGTATTTCATTAAAAATTTACTTGAAGACCATAGATAGTATCATAAAATAGAGTCCATGCAACACCAGCTGCGTAAAGTGGTAAACAAGCAGTTAAGTCTATTGAAGAATGTATGGCAGACCAACCTAAAAGAGCACCCCAATTGAACGTAAGACCTAATACAAACTGTGGCCAATAAGTAACACGCTTCATTAATGGATAAATGGTCACTAATACTGCAACAAAAACAAACAACCAATTTACAATCAATTTTACATGTCAAATTCACTTTTATGTAGCTTTTTAAGTGCAGTCAGGCACACTATCAGACAACCAAATTACTCAAACCGAAAAAAATTTCACATAATTGTAGATCAGACTTGATTAGCTATCGAATAATATGTACAAGACAATGTATTAAATAATTTATAGCTTACCTAATGAGCTGGCACCAACCACAATTGTGTACAAGTTGAGCTGTAACAAAACGATAAGACTGATACCTAATTGGCCAGCGAGAAATACCCAGGCATCAAACATTGTCAACGAATTAATGACTAGAGGCCGGTTTTTAGTTCTTTCTACCTAAATAAATATTAACTAGTTAATACATTTGTATACCAATAAACATAATGTAATATACAAGACTTACTTACTTTTTTAATATTTCATTACCTACTGTTGAATTTTATAAATAGAATTTATTTTAAAATAATACTAAAAAAATTTGATCAAAAGAAAAAGTGAACAGATTTAATAATAAAAAAAATCATGAATATTTATAAAACGGATAGAAAAATAATAATGTATTGTGTAAGGGAGGATTAGGATGGCCAACTCGTTTGTATGAGAAAAGAATAAAATAATTACACATTGTGCACATACTTTTTTATCAATGTCTCTATCCCACATATCATTGATAGTACATCCAGCGCCACGCATGGTAATTGCGCCCAGTCCAAAGAGACCAAGCATTTCCCAATTTGGAAAATCACCAGCACCCGACGCCAAAGCTATACTCCATGTGCAAGGCCAATAGAGTAGTAGCCACCCTAAACAAACCAAAAGTAATTTTAACGTCTAGGGATCAAATTGATTTTCGACTATTTACCAGTAGGTCTAGAGAATCGCATCAGTTCCATGTATGGACGTAGTGTACTCATGACTACGCTTTTTGGCTGGTCGACCGGTTTAGACTGTTGGGCGACAAGAACTTTACTGTTTATCGAACAAGATCGCACCAATGCAAAGTCGGTCGACAATGATGACCGACGGCCACATATCGTCTTCCTGCTTTCCGTCGACAACGTCTTGTAGTACACGTGTGAACTCGAGAGCTTTAATCTCGTGCCGACGCATTTGGAAAATGCCTGGAAAACATACAGCTAGTGTTATTAGTTGAGTAATTACGGATTCACCAGTACGATTTACATATAACATGGTTGTGTGGAGTCTGACAAATCTAATCCCGACACTTCATAGCGTTTAAGGTGAAGCACAACAGCCCAAATCGGACGAGAAGAAATAAATAGTCGAGATATCAGCAGCGATGAGTAATAAATATGAACGAGTATTTAATGGCTGCATGTATAATCAGTTATTTTTAATTATTCATTTGATTTTTACACGCTTCAGGGTCAGAAGAGCGAAGCGGAATATCGTTTAAAAAAATAACATTATCATTTATTATATAACATAACCCTGAAAATAATATTATGAGTGTACTTATCAGTTATCAATTTATCTCAGCAACCGCGGGAGTTTACAAAATAGTATTATTATGTCAGTGTTTTAGTTTCAGTAGAACCCGTCGGATGTCGCCATGCCGCATTCGGTTTCGCTGTTCACCGCTCGATCGCATGTTCTCACAGCTTTATCTTAGGATTTTCCAAAAAATCTTGAAACGATGCGAGTGTCGATTTCCCGTATCTTTCAAGTATAAATATGAATAATTGTAAAAAAACACTTGACCGAGTTTTATGAAAAAATTCAATTTACAAACGTTGTAACGTCTACATATCCCGGTCTGCAGCAAACGTGGATTTAAAGCTAAAAAACGGCATGATCTAATTGATTCTTCCAGATTCATATGGGATATGATGAATGGGTTTAAACTCCTAACTTGGAGAAGCCTGTGCCTTAACCTTGTTACGACTATCACAGGTCATACCCCTCTGATCCCTACACTAAGTAATCTGATTGGAAGTATCCTTTGATGCTTATAAAATACATGTTGGAATTGTTACCTGTATATTTCAACCATGTACTGATTACTCACTACGGTACTAATTTATAGTATTCTTACTTCTTTTTAATTTTAAGGAAGCCAAATAGCAATTGTACTTTCTTAATGTGTTCACAGCATTATAAAGTGACTAGGTCTTCTTCAATGCACCCTAAAAACGCACTTCTATACTTACTATATTATACTTATAACTTTCTTATTGTTATAAGAAAAAAGTACTAGGTATACCAAATGGCAAATAGTGATAAATAGCGTATGATTAAACCCACTCATAGGAGCGCATAACTTCAAACAAAAAAAAAATTAACTCATTATAAAACTAATACTTTCTCAGCTCCGTGTTCAAGCTAAAATTATAATACTATGGCGAAGAAAAAAGTATTAAGTACACTAAAGTCTGTAGTATGTCTCAAATGATAGCTTTTTTTTTTAATTTCAAAATCACATCACATAAATATGAAAACTTTTGCTTTTTTAATTAACAAACTTAAATGGGCTGCACTAGCTAGTTAATTGTCAACTTTAGTCTTTAGTAGCATAAAATAAAACACAGCTTAACCGACCATGTTGGTCAGTTTTTCCCAATCTCATACTGAACCCAACTAAAATAATTGGGATTTGGGTTGTTAATTAGGAGACAGCTAAAATCTTATTCTAGCTTAACGACCAATACAACATAGTACGATGAATAAAAATAAAATCAAGAATATTGTTATTGGTTTTGACAATATAATATAATAATATATTTTTGTTTAGAAAAAAAAATGACAATAATGTAATAAATGCTATAATCACTATATAAAAAAAAATTACATCATATTATTATTAAATGCCAAGTAATAATTTACTTACATTTTATAAAAACATTAATTCAGATAGGTAGGCCCTACTTTACTTATAAAAGGATCTTTAAGAAAAAAAAATCAGTCTTAAACTTAACAAATCAAATAAAACTTATATACATAAATGAACATGTTATGTCGGCGAAACGAGATTTCTAAACTCTTTCAATACAAACGATTATAAGAAATTAAAGTTTTTAACAGCAGTAAAAGAAAATTGTTTTTTTTAATTTATTATATTGATAATATATTTATTAGGTTTGAAAATAACGATCATTTTATTATTTTCTTGGGGAAAAATGGTAGTTACATAATATAATGCATTACCTGTATGTATAAATTATCAGTACGAATATAATATCATACAATATTTAATTAATAATACAAATATTACGTATAAAATTAAAAAATGATTAACTAAGCATATAAAATGAATATCCATTATGTTAATGGATATTCTTGTACAATTTAAGAGAATAACAAATTTTTGGATATAGTTTGAAGACAAATCACATTTGTAACGTTCAAATTTTTCTTTCTGGGGAAAAAAGCCCCATTTATAGCCAATAAGCTTATAAAGTTCAATTATAATTATTGTTGAGTTGATCGAAAACATATCACAATAATGTAAATATTAATAAATATGTTTTCAATTAATAAAAAATAAACATTTATCTTAAGATCACTTTAAAAATTATGTTATAAAAGTATTTTTTTAAACTTAAACATTTACAGTGTATGAATAATTTTGTGGACATATAGTTAAATTTATTAATTTGTGATGATAAAATGTGTTTGTATAAAATTAAGATATTTATCATAATAAATATGTATAATAAAAATATTACTATTAAAAAGTCTAAAAGGTTATATTTAAATCAGCATAAAAAAATTAATGAAATGGATATATACACACGGAATGGTTATTTTGTCCTCTTACTTAATCATTTATAAATATTATAGAAATATAAAATTAATTTCAAATAAGTCATGTTTAATAGGCAGTTAATACTTTAGTACTTACCTAGATACAGTACAAGTTAATATTACTGAAACTATTCTAAGTATTAGTTTATTGTTATTTTACAAATTATTACATAAATGTGTAAAATTCCAATCACAATATTTATGACAATAATATCAAAGTTATACAATGAAAAAAACTGTGTTGTATCATAAAAACCTAAAAATATTGACAGTTAAAATTACATTATCACAAATAGCTGATCTCGTGAATATATTGATAAAAAAGAAAATGCATGGCAGTTTTGATTATGGAAACAAGTGACATCGGAGAATTGGCCTAATTCAATAGACCAACAGGAAACTTCCATAGCACTAGTTGGTTATAACTTTTTACTTTTAGGTTAAGTCTATGTTTATTACTATTAATGAAAATGTAAAAGAGATTTTTTAAATTCATAACCCTGTGTAATTGAAATATATTATAATATATTTTGTTCTATATATTTAATGTGTCGTTTTTAGTAAAATGTTAATTGACCAAAACTAGGCCCGTTGTGTACCTTAGGTGAAATGTTATATTTGAATAGTGTATATGCTACATATAAAAACAGGCGTAGGCGTACCCGCAGGTATGAAATGTGCTTTAAAAAAATAGGTGGAATAATGTGTAAATTTTGTTCACGAAACTTATTACGGACTTTGAGATCATTGTGTTGATCAATCAGTAACAACACTAATAAAAAAATAACTCACAGGACTACATTACATTAGATATTTTTAACCTTAATGTGGGCGACAGAGAGTGCTGAAGCGATTTTTATCAAGTACTAACTGGCACAATTCTATGAGCGGCTCGTAACCAATATTGAGCAATAAGCATACAGCATAATATTGTTATGATGCCTGTCAGTCGGCTAACAAGCCCTGAAACAGAATTATAATGTCACGTTATGTATGTTAATTCGCATTATTATTATTTTGAAATACACACTTGAGAGACAGTAGCAAGTTGATCCTTGAGTACTCTGAATGATGGACGGTCTTCTGGACAGTGACTCCAACACTTTCTCATTACCTAAAATTATAATTACAAATTATTTAACTATAACCATAGAGATGCAACAATAATGTCGTTGGCATTCAAAATTTACCTCGTAGACTTCCTTAAAACACATTTTGGGTTTTTCAAGAATTATGCCTCTTTGTACACGATCAACCACTTCAGTGTTTTTAAGCCTTCCATAAGGCATTTTTCCGCAAGTGAATATTTCCCACATTAAAACGCCTAAAGATTAAAAATTATACATTGTAAAAATTAATAAGTAACTAAACGAATTTTTACATACCATAAGCCCAAACATCAGATTTTGAAGAAAATCTGGTATAGTTCAATACCTCAGGTGGTGCCCATTTAATGGGAAATTTAGTGCCTCCAGAACTAGTGTATTGGTCATCAAGAACATACCTTTAAATAATACATAATACAATTTTACTACGAAAACAATTACATTTTTCTTATTTAAAAAAAAACATTAATGAATTATAAAATTATAACGATATTCTACAAACAGATTTTTGCAAAAATTATTCAAATAAATAATAAAAGTCATCAATAATGATTGGCGATTAAAGATTAATTTTTTATTTACGAATAAAAATGTATTATATAACGTCCAGCTTTGCTAAAAAGTAATGAAAAAGTAATAATTATTCACCTTGCCAATCCAAAGTCTGCAACTTTAACAACATTTTCTGAACCAACTAGGCAGTTTCTAGCGGCAAGATCTCGATGAATATAGTTATGACGTTCTAAATAGGCCATGCCTTTACAAACCTATGCAGATAATACAAATTATTCAAAATTCAAGATTTTTAAATTTATCAAAATCTTACCTGAATGCACATATCAAGCAAAAGTCCATTATTTCCCCCTAAATTGTTTTCATGTCTTCTCAAATAGTTAAGCAACGATCCGTGACGCATGTACTCGGTAACTATGTATATTGGTCGGTGTTTGCTGCAGACTCCATAAAGTTGGACTAGATTTTGGTGTTGAAGTTTACTATAATACAAATATGAATTTTTAAGAAAAGTGTAATACATTACAATTACATTACATTACAAATTGTTTTTTGGACCACACTTACGTCATGACTTTGGCTTCTTCAATGAAATCATCTTCAGACATTGTACCTTCCTTCATCATCTTGACAGCAGTGTCAATTGATCCTTTCCACTTGCCATGGCGAACTACACCAAATTGACCAGATCCCAGTTCTTCCAGCAACATAAGTTCTGCAGGATCGATTTCCCATTTATCTATATGGAAATGCAATTCATAATGTATTATGTATTACAAAAAGAACAACATATCAACTAATAGCTATTAACATTATTATCATTAACATCATACCATGACTAAGACCAGCAGTTGCTGGGACAGGGCGATCACAAGGCGACGCTTTTAACCGAGATGCTAATCCGCCACTATTGTGTCGGTGGTAATTGATTAATTCTGGAATGGTCGAACAACAATGTTTTTCACTTAAGAAAAAATCTCCTCGGCTATTTTGTTTAATATGGTAATGTTTGACATGAGAATGTGGTCTAAATTTAAACAAAAAAATGTAACCTGCATTTAACCAAACTATAGTTATTGATTAAATTGTAAAGAAAAACTTACACTTTAGTAAAAAGTGAAAGTGTGTAAAGTCCCTTAGTAGAAGAATTTCTAACAACGAAACAGCCTTCTTTGTCTTCTTGTTTCAGAAGAGATTCAGCTCTTTGTCTTGACATGTCTCCAACATACCATCTGTACAAAACATAAATGATTAATTACAGTCGGTTAACTAAACACCCTTTAGTATCATAAAAAAGCCAAAATTCACGCTTACTCATATTTTTGAAGCCCAAGAAGTTCTTTTTCTTTAACATAATTACTAGGAATATAACCGATAGAACTGAAAATTAAAAAGAAAAAAAAATTATAAAATATAAACTTAAGATTGATGTTAATCATACGAACCCATTTTCATCTCTCACTTTCCACCAGTGATCCTGTGAGTCATCAATAACTTCATACTCACACCCCTAAAAATTAATAATACACAATTGTAGGACATTTTATTTATAAAATTTTATTTTCACTTCAACTAGTTTAATAAAATAAAAAATACATTATTTTAATTAAATTTCCAAATTTAACTAAATTATTATTTATTTAAATTTATTTTTATTTCAAACAACAATTAATTTGAAAAAACAAACCCCAAAAAAAAAATTAAATAACATATAAAAATATATTATTTGAAATTATGATTAATAAATTAATTTGAATAATTTATTATTTGAAAAAATAAAAAAATGATTTGTTATGCATTTTTACTAGGTATTGCTTACTTTAACTAAAGTCAAATCTCCAGGTTCGATCGCCTTAAACGGATAAAGAGCAGTCACTACCTTGATTCTAGGTACTTGATCCTGGCATAACATACAAGCAAATTAAAATTGTATAACCACATAACAGGTGACTCTTTTTTTATACACTTACCTTAAGCTTGGCTGCTGGCGTTCCTCCCGGCATTGTCGTATTAGCTACCGTTAAAGCTGCAAGAAAAAAACCATAATGAATGTTATTATAAGCATAATAAAATCAACTATTGCGATTAGCGCCGTTGGCCAAGAACAACCGGGTCAGACGAAATTAGATTTGTGTTATCAGTCATGGTGGATTGACTCGAGACGAGCAGAAGAAACTATACCATGGAGATTTCACTCGGTTTGTTTATATTAAACCGTTAATTCGCATAACCGTTCAGAAAATATTTACTTAATAGAATAATCGTCAAATGATTTATAGCTTGTAAGAATTTATCAACAATGTACTATACAGTATTTGTATACGAGGTAGGGTAGATAAAAAAGTGTCAGGTGATAGCTCATTCAGAAACACCACATTATTAGGTTTGGGAACATAATAAAATCGGAGACAATGTCTGTCATATTCTAGGCTTTGTAAGTATAATATAGTAAGGGGGAAGCGGTATATGTATATTAAAAATAGTTTTAGACGCCCTTGTTAAACACGAATGTGCGCTAATGGGCTAAAATAAGATAACTGAACGATTGTGACTATCGACTATGAGTTATGAGTAGGACCCGGAAGGTCCCTAAAGAAATGCGCATATAACAGCTAGGCAGGGAAGCTACACAATTACCAGACCTCTAAAGAACACAAAATCAAAATTGTATACTGCATATTTTTGCACATTTCAAGTTTTCATTTTTGATATTTTCTACAATTTATATGTATGTATTGTGTGTGCACAAAAATATATGTTTTGCGAAAATAGAAGTCTATATATTAACAAGTAATTTTAATAAAAACTATTAGTATTTATTAGTAACTATAGTATTAATACAAATTTACTATAAATTTTGTAACTTATGTTATAGAACTAAATAAGTCTATACATACATAAATAAAATATACATTTTTTGTTTAAAAGCTATTAAAGATAAAAAAATAATTAGCACACATTTTATATATACTGAGGTGTTTTTAACGCATAAATGCAATCACAATTCGATTGTTTTTAGTGTATGAACTTCCGGGCTTTAGTTATTAGTTATTAATGTACAAATCGCATGAGTTTTATAAAACAATACAGATTATGCACTTTTGGTGGTATATGTATTATGTATATGAATGGTCCTCCAGTTCTAAAGAGGCAGTAAATGACTTGGAAAAAAAATCAAATTAGCTCGTTTGGGGTAGATTTGTTAGCATTATTTATAATATATATATATATATATCGGTGAAACGAGAACGCAGAGAAACAATGTCGCTTTTATTTATTATTGTTTGTAATTTCGCTAAAAAATGAGCAGTCACGAACTAACCCGTCGCGCGCCGACGACACAAAACTACATGGTCGGCTTGGACTATTATCGACGTTTTGAATGAAAGAGATTCGCATAATAAAAATCAGGAACATTATACATTCAATGAATACCAAACGGCTATTGTTTCGGTGCACTGCAATAATCATAATAATAAAATCGTCTTTACACTCTTCACCTGCATAATCGTTGGTTTCTACTTTATTCTTCTTATCAGAAGAGTCATTCACCTGACGTAACGTCCCCGACATTTCCCACTTCTCTCTAAACAGTTTCTATCCTTTGTACATAAACACACAACCCGTCGAAATAATACAATATATATATATACATAACACACATCGTAGTAGTATACACACACACACGAGCGCATGTATTATGTAAAGACAATTGAAACGGTTATATTATATATTTTTTTGAGTGCGAGTTAAAACGAAGATGAACGATGCGATGCTGCTGGTGGTAGGGAAAAGGTACACTGACAAAAACATCAACATGGACCATATGTTCATTGTCTCAAGAAAGACCGTGTACGCGCCCTCCGAGTTTCTCAGACGGCGCAGATGTATAACATCACTAAGGTGGTCCGAGGAAACACTTCTACCACCCCCCCCCCCCCCGTGAGATAAAGGGAGAAAAAAAAATAAAACTCAATAATATAATAAAAAAAACTCTGGTCCGGCCGTCGTTGTAAAGCAGCGGTTCATAACAAACGGGGGAACACAGTTCGAGAGCTTTTGTGATAATTATTATGCCATTACAAAATCGATTACTCCAATTTGAAAACGCAGCGTTAACGTCAAACAAAACCTACCGCGGTACTAGGATGTTATAAAAATTTCGCTATTATTCCGGGTCAACGTCGATACCTCTTCGCCATTCTTATTTAGAACAGTTAAGTCATGTCGCTTTCCAAGTCTTCTTCGCAAATCAATCAGTACGGCGGCAGACAATCCATCTCTCGACAGATAATTCATTATTTCCGCTCTGGCACTTGGCAATCATTGAAATCATTCGGAAACTTGATAGAATAATATTTTTTGAACGTGCCCGACTGCAGTACATTATTTTTTTTGTAAAAATAATAATAAGACTACTACTGCCGATACAAATACAATAAAATGGTAAAACCGAACGTGTAGTTCACTATAATAGATCATTTTTTTTTTTTGAAACTGATTTTGTATTTTAAATAATATTAATATTATGTAGATACAGTTCAATTCACACATCGTTCATTGTAGCTATATCCCAGAGAAAAAACGACTTAATCACAAAAATACATATTATCGAGGGTGTATTCGACACATTTGACGACAGTATAAAAAATATACTCCGTGAGTACTGGATATGACTTAAATAAACCCAATATTAATATTATGTTTTACGCTCGGTAGGCAACTGCAGTCACACGTGATGCGTGTAATGTTTTATTATTATTAATAAAAAACGAAGGGAGTTGGTCAAATTAATGTAACCTTCGCTTACATGTATACCGTTAATACGATAGTATCACGTTTGGCCGCCTATGACGGTTAACACACGATACACGTTTTAATAATAATTATTGTTCTACTTTTTATATTATCATTGGGCGAGGGGACTTGAACGCCAATGTATATATTATGGAATTACTACACTGTCGAATGACTCGCTCGTCAACTCCATACCATACAGGTTATACAAACTAACACTAATGTATTGCACAAACAGTGCATTATAGTGGTGTGTTTAATTATTAATTTGAATTAAAGACGTTAGTAGAGCGTTTCACGTTTCGAGGATACTAACGCGAAATCCTATTCGAAAGGTACAACAGCTGCTGCTGCTGGTGGTGTCAATGATTTTTCTAGCTAATCCGTTAATGCAGCATGCTCACAGGCAAAACACGTCTGTAGTTAAATATGTATTTAAACTAATGCCCTCATCGAGTCAATTCTGTTTACATCATATAATTTCATATAAAGAGTTAAGTTAATCCTTTATTTTACGACATTTTACCCAGCGTATATAATCTTTAATGATTATAATAAACAGATCCGTTGAAAAAAAATGACAAAAAAAATATTATTTTAAAATCATCTACCTAGAAATTATATTGCGGATAATATAACAATGCACAGAATGCGTTGTTCCGATTTAAGCACTTATGTGCATATTTAAGTTGCGATTACAATAACAATTTTAATTTTACACGTTGAATACACCTAATTGTACATATTATATATAACTGACTGTTGGCGACCAATTATTTGTCTATGGGAAGGTTAGGTTGGGAATATTGAGTGCATTCAGTACAATGTACCTACCTGAACGTATTAATTCCGTCATTAGACCGTAAAAATGCTTTTAATGGTAGTATTTTTCATTGTGACAAAACAAAAAAATTAGATTCATTATCTTGAGAAAAAAAAACATAAAGCGGATATGAACATTTTTTTTTATAGTTTAAAATTTAAGTAAAACGATGACTATCAAAATACTTTTTGAGTAATTTATTCTATTATTATCATCGTTTCGGCATTTTTTTTCTTCAAATATTGTTTTCCAGTTGTATCTTTGTGTCCTATTCAAATAATAGTGTCGAGCAGTTTTCTTCTTTTTAGGAGAAATATTAAATTAATATTTTATTCGTGCGTTTGTACGTATCCGTGAATAAATTATCGTTCGGTCAACGAGTCACGATCAACATGCTTTCTAAGAATCAACACTATAACCATCACCATTAATATAATTACTACATTAATAAAGGTAAGGATGGAACGCACGAAAAAAAGCATGCACTTATCACACTTCAATGATCGCATTTAAATAATAATACAATATTTCAATGTTCGAACGGGAATTACTGCCCATCCATTCTTAAGACGATTGAAACTACACTATCCTATATTATAATTGTAGGCAGTTTTTTTATTATTTTATTATTATGTAACGTTACCGTCGTCATATAGCTGAAGAACAATCACTAAGCAGAATTATAGATAATGTTAGTAATTAGTAATTGTCGAACGGTATTTTCACGATTTCTACCTGTAAAGCCAAATAACATTGGTCACTGACAACAACCGACAAAAACTGTAGTAAATAAATACATTGAAACAAAAATATTCTGAGGCTCGTGGTTAATATAATTAAGCGACAAGAAAAATTAGGAAACACTATCTACTTAAGAAGACCCTAAGGATTTTCGAACGCGATAAATGAGTCATCAGTATTATCGATTGGCGCTTTTGCGCCTAGAGGGGTCTTTTGGCAGGCATATACCGCACCCATATAATACATTGGAAAAAATCTAATAAAGTACACAACTAAAACGCTATCAAGTAACACACACACATAAAACAACTCGGATGTACGCACCTTTGGTCGTTGTTCGGTCCTTTAAAATATAAATATAATTGTGTAGAGGAACTACACTTCGGTTGGAAACATAACAAAACAAATTAGAAGTTTTTTTCTACAATGAAACAAATTCACGTTAAAACGAGCCCACAGCGCGCGTACGGGCTAAACAACCGTCGTGACAAGTACAAGCACTAGTGTTTACTGAACTATAGGCAGTTGTTGCAGCGGCACTCTTGGCGAAGACAGACAAGCGTGTATAACATTATTTTTATGTATACCTATTCCTATGGTAGGAAAAACTAAGCAGCGAACGATGGGGGCAAGAGAGAAAAAGAAGAGGCGCTGGTGTTGTTGCCGGCATCGGATCACTGACTGATCGAGAAGGGGAGAGCCGAGAGAGTACACATCCAAGGCAAACGCACGAAAACGCATTGTTATTGACCGGGTTAAAACTGCAACGGCAGTGTGGCCACACTTCAAGGGTTCGGGTCTTCGGTTTCGAAAAAAATATAGAAAATCACACGCCTAAGACAACGAGGATATGGCAAAAACCATTTGTAGTTTCGATTTAAGAAGACGTCATACCCTTTAAAAATAATCTATAAAACGTGTTTATGGAAAAATGTGTAGGTCAAAGCGAAAGGGTCATAGAAAACAAATGTGGATACCGTTAAAAAGATAAGAAATTTAGCTAGCTATTTCTGTTGTCGGTTTTTTAAAAAAACTTAAATTTTACCTTAAATACAAGCACTTAAAAAAGTTTTAAAAAATGTTAGAATTAAAATATAAAATGTAAATGTCGGGTTATTAATATAAAAAAAGGCCGACGAAAGAACCTATATAAAGTTCTCATTACTTTAAATACGTCAAAAATATTGTCTAAGAATATTATTTAGTCGATAATAAAGAATAAGCTGTCAAAGATGCTGTGATAGTCTGAAAAATAATTTAACTACCAAAAAATAGTCCTAATTACAGAACTTATTATTACACATCACAGTTTAACCTGTTGAGATTTTATAAAAAAATGCCTGATTTATTTCTTAAAAATGGGAGGATTTGCGTCTTCTTAAAGGTTTACATTCAAACGTTTTGTCGGATTACATAATAATAGGTATATCAACAAATAATCTTACGTTTTAAACGAATCTGGTATAGAGAGTGAAAAGTCCGAATATATAAAAAAAACAATAGATTATTAGGCTCTTGGCAAAAAAATACATTTAAAATAGATGATGATGAAAAAAATCCTTGTGTTTTAGATTACTCTGCATTACAAGCTTTTAGTACAGTACCGCGCTTAATTTCTATAGTATTTTAATTAGCCGTAAATCAGCCGACGCAACGCGAGGTACATGAACGACTTTAAATATTGTAAGACAAACTACAACCACCGATTAACCAATTTCTTTAAGTAAACAAAATGTTTTTAAAAAATAGGCATGATGTGTCTCATTTGATATTTAAAAAGAAACACCATGTTAAGTGAAAATAACAAATTTAATATTATACTAAAGTTTTAATTCGATTTATAACTAAAATATGAATTTATTATATCAATTCTTGGAGACTTTTTATCAGAGATTTAAGCACATTTTTTAAATATAAGTATTTAGATTTAAGGTTCCTTAGTATTCTAATAATAAAGTAAATAATAATATAGTTTAACAATTATCCGTAAAACAAAAAATTCAAATTGCTTATGACTGTTATTTTAAAAATAAATTTTGAAATACATTTTAAAAATAATTTTTAAAAACAAGTTTTTTTTAATAAAAATATTATTTACATGATCGCGGAATAGAATTGCAGTCATAATTTGTTCTGAAGTCGTGAGAAATGACAATAAAAAAATTATATACAATTTACATAATTGTGCACAGTGCCGTTATAAGCTCGTGTGGTTATTTTATTATAAGTAACGTGGTCGTGTCTTACAAAACCGCAGTACAATATATACATATTACACGTTAAGAAGCTGCTGCATGAGAAGAGAAGACTGAAATACTGGATTTTATGTTTTTTACAACAATATTAAAAAAAAGTCAATATTATTTATTAAATAATTTATCGTGTCAGAACACTACTAAAAAATTTCAATTTATTTTGTTTGGGTACCTCAAGTACTTTTGACTTTTGTTTTTAGAAACGTGACCATAGTGGGGTCGGAGTCGTCACACGTCTAAAAAAATTACTATGACTGAAAGTGATAAAACCACTCTAAGAAAGTTATTTAAAGAAAAACTGTGATGGTTAAAAAAACTAAATAACGATAAAAATCACAATGAAGACAATACTAGTGAAACCAGGTTGAAACAATATTTTTTAAACACTAAATCTTATCGAAACTTCAGTCTTATTTGTAAACATTAAATTAAAAAAATTCTTCAAATGAATACAAAAAAAAGTTCCACACTTTATGAGGAATGAGTATCAAAACAAATCATAAAAAATTAGGAATTTAATTAGGTATTTTTCTGGATTTTGAGAATAATGTAGTGACTGTTGTTTAACATGAATAAAATGGTCCAGCGAATTGTTAACGTAAGTACAGAAAAACACATCTTAAAACCAATACGTTATTTTATAAGCTCCTCGATTTGTTAATACCTACTATTTCATGTTTTATATAATTAAGGTCTACGCACAACATGCATTTTTAAACACACCACTCGTTTAACAATAAGTTTTTAAATTGTTATCGTAGTTATTATAGGTCACGTACGAGTCGTAAAAACAATTGGTCACACTATAAAAAAACATTCCGTCAAAAAGAACCCCAACAACAATTCCCACAATTTGTAACTAAAAACCACCCGAAACGTTCCTTCTGTCTCTATATATTATGTATAGACGTTAGAAAACTCGACGACTGGAGATTAAGAAAGTCTTTTAAAGGGCAAACGAGATAAGGTCTAATGCGTGGTTACTACACCACATACTTTTTACGTAAAATACTGATGTCTTAGGAGATAAACTCTTCAGAAGAACTGAACAGTTTAAGCGTAAAAATACACCTATGAAATTTAAACATTTAAAAACCTGCAAAATGCAGTCCTAAACTTCTATAACTCAATTACTTTAATAAAAATCACCCAACTCAAAATTTAAGTAAAATTTCAATCTTTAATTTTACGCTAAAACCGCTCAGTTTCTCAGAAAAGCGTAACCTTATATGTTTTTTGGATGGTCATTATTATAAAAGTATATGATATAGTTTCATGTCGAGTAAGTAAAAAAAAAAATCACCTATATTTTATTCTATGATATACTTAGGTGCGTCATACTTTTTTATGTGGTGAACATTGGTTAAAGCTTGATACCCATCCGCCCATTGGCATTCATTTCTAATTAAGCGCATTTAAACACAACCACCACAGTAGATTGGTACAGTAACTTCTACCCACCCCCAAAAGATGTCCCAATAGTAATACATAGGCATATTAATCGACGCCACTGCGCTAGAGTGCACAAAATTAACACAAACAACCCTGTGAAGTAGCAATACATGTTGTACACGTACACATTATATATAATATTTAAATAAAGCTGTTTGTAAACGGTTTTAGTTTTTTTTTAGTTATAAAACGTAGGTACACTTACCCAATACAGGGCTGTTGTTGTTGCCGTTCTTAACGATGGGCGAATTCGGTGGCGTTGTGTTCCACTCGGAACACGGTTCACATCCTTCGGAATGGCGTGTTGGCGCTCGACAGCATTGCCACTTTTTTCCGCCCCAGATAGACACGTGGTACCTCTCGCTTTTTCCTACATTATCCACGCAGACTGTGGAAAACAAAACGTCAATTTTAAACAGGTCAAATCACCGGTGAAGCCATATCATAGGAGATGGTATAATTACCGGTTCTCAGAGATTGTATCCAGTCGGTGCGCTCCTGGAGCTTTTGAGTTATGAGATACAAAGTGTATTGGATATCGTTGACGTCGTTGTAAGATATTTGAAAAGAATAACCGTTTTCGCCATCATTGTTTCCAGTATCTTGTTGGGATAGGATGTTTGGTGATGGTGTTATGGTAGCCGTTTCTATCACAGTGATCGACGACAATTTTATGCGACCTCTCTCTTTTTTGCGCTATAAAATAACATTTTTTTTTCAGTCAACAATTCCGGCAATTACCTCTAATTGTAAGTTTTGCACAACTACTACCTATACTATTTTGGGTTTAAGTTTTTTCGGCGAACCTTATTTTGAAATTTACTCAAATTACCATCAAACACATACATGCCAACGTGTTACAAATGTAGTGTCTTACTCAAACAAGTCTAACAATAATAATTATATTGCACGCAGTATGTCCTAGAATGACTGTTGCCGTGTTCAGCTCTCTATTGTTCACGTTCAGCCGATTTGAACACGATTTATTTTTACAAAGACTATAATAATAGTACTTTTCAAAATTAAAAAAAAAAAGGTTATAATGTTTAACAGCTATTTGGTTTGAACTATGGACACTACAAATATGCAATATTCATACTGCCACAAACGTTATATGCACATAAACAATTTTAAACCTAATAACAAAATTCTATAACTACCCATATACCTAACAAGACACTAATCAAATATACCATAAGGTGGACTCAAGTTACAGTTTTAAAAAACACTATAAAAGCTATATTAACTTATTAGTTTAATATAGCCATATTAACAGTTTAAAAAAAAAAATTATCGGATTTTCTAAACTGAAAAGCAAATAATGAAATCATTATACAAATACAAATCTACAAAACGGAAATTTAAAAAGTTCATCCTTTTCTCTTCAAAATCGAGAAAAACACAAAATAGGAAAGACAGACAATCAACCCTAATCTTATCAACTTTACTACTAAATACAATTAAAAACACATTTTTTCCTTCGCAATACTTTTATTGACATATAATATTCCTGTCATCTATAAATTCGCATCGAAGATAATTTTTTGAAAGTGATGATAGTTTATATATACATGCGACTTCCCTGGCCCCAATATGCTTTGTCCCACCCTACTATGCCCCGACCCCACTAAACAGGCATTATTTGTTAAAATATGTTAATAAAAATAATAAACCGTATTTTTTAGCTAAAAAAAATGTAATATTTTGTACATTTCACCCCCCTTTTAACTAAAATTTCAGCTAAAGCTTAATGTATATATATATTATACAAAGCATATTATTTAACTATAAAGTTTTTAACTTATTACCTACATAAAATGTTATGGGTAATACTAATACACAATAAACTAATTTACCTAACGATTCAAGCTATTATGTAGGGTAATATAATTAATTATACAGTACACAATATATTAAGACAGAGAAGTTTATGAATTAAAACTCATTTAAATATACATACATAATTCGTCTTAACCTGTTTTATTTTTATTTTAAAATAATATTTTTATTTAATCTACAATAATTTAAAGAAAAAAACTGAGCACATCCAAATCTTAACAGAACTGCCTTAAAACCATTGTAATGCCTTGTTGCAACATTTCACTTACACTGACGACAACAAAATAATTTATTATTGTACATGATTTATACAAAAAAAAAAAAATATTTACGCTATCTTATATTATCTGACAGTGCACAAAATTATCTTGCGCTTAGTAATATTTTCAATGTAATTTGTCATCTAACTCTTTCCACAAAACATTTATACAACTTTTATTATTTGAAACATGCACAAATTATAAGTATGTTAAACAGGAAAACAAATTATACTTTGTACTGAAATTCAAAATTTGTAATTTTACTAATTAACAATTTCTTTTTTTTAAGTCATTCAGTATATATCAGTACATGTATTTCAGTACATGCATATAAAGTATGAACTTCTGAGTTCTATGCATATATTTTTTTTAAATTATGTGTGTATATTATAACAGATTACTTTTATCTAGCCCAAAGTTAAACAAATTTAAACGTTTATACATTTATAAATTTACAATGTAAATTCAATATAATTTGCAATGTCATGCTCCTACTAGCTATATGCACATTATGTTTCAACAACTAATAAATGTCATAACATTCTAAATACAAAATTAAAATCAAACTCATACCTATCACTCATTTTAAAATTAAGAGAACTGTAGTGCTTTATAATATGGGTTACCCACAGTCATTGTATGAGTTTTACAGCTTTAATGGGTGAAATGCAGATTCCACCATATTCCCATCTAAACTATAATAGGGTACCCCTTTAAAAAATCCGAACCCACATGAAATCACTGTTTAAACACATAGGACCACTTTCCTGCATTTGCTAAGGGGGTTAAAATTTTGGGAAGCTGTAATAAAAAAAATATTACCCAACAAATATTTGTATTCATTCTTGACATTTAAATAATAATATATATAACATAGTAAAGTAGCCTATAATTTTAGTATAGTCTAACCTAAACTTTTTTTTTAAGCTTAACTTGTAAGAAAGACCATAATATAGACACAGTTATAAATTCACCACACATAAAACTTACCTAAAACATATAATTTGAAACGGATTTTTTCAAATCATGTTTAAATGTAATAAAATAAATGATTAATAAGTTAATATGACAAATAGAATTTGAAATTCATAATTATAAATACAAAATGTGTTTCCTCATATGTAATATAACGTACATCATTTTCAACAACCAACATCAGAAAAATCCCTGTTCTTTTTCCACCACCATTTCAATGCAAATTTACGGAGTACTTAAGTCTATAGTAGTTCCATATATAGTAAATAATCTTTTATTTAAACATTTCTTTAGTTTTATTTGTTTTAAGATAATAATTTGATATAGCATTATTAAAATGTATTTTTAGTTCCTAAATCCTAATGTTAGTAACAAAATAAAAGCATATGTACCCTGTTAAGCAGTTGATGTATGTTATGGAGACACGGCAGTGAGCTTCTTTCAATAATTTCCTGAGAAATGTAGACAAAAATTAACATTTATTTCACGTGCTTTAGTTATAATAATAATATTAAGTGGGTAACATTAATAAATTCCATTCGACTTAGAAATGAATTTGGCTGAAGTGATATAACAAATTAAAATAGTGAACGAGTTATACATTAATCTAAAACTTAAAGTAGTATGAGAATTATAATTTTGTAAACATATTTACTACTTTATAAATGAATCTCAACTATAATTTTACTTTAATTAGTTATCAGAAAAATACTAACTCACTTTCGTTTAATGAAAATAGTTTTAATTCTATTTAATAAAACACATTTTTTTTTTTATTTGCTTACATCAGTCATCATGCATGCTAGACAAATACCATAGTTTCACCCATGCATAAAGTAATCTGTATTAATAGGTAATTATTATTGTTGTATTACATTTATTAAATTGTGACAAAATTGTGTTAAATATGTATTTGTTCTTTATTGTTTATTTAATATTTTATTTTAAATAGAAATTATTTTAGTGCTAAATAGTTTTTGTATAAGTACTAAAATAAAGAAGTGCAATACAAATACAAGAATAAATTATTTAATTAATATTATTATTTTGATCACTGGTATTTACATTAAATACTCAGCCTAATTCATTTCTAAGGTATTGGATTAAATAACCATGAATACACCAAATATTTCTAGAAGTAAGTTATAATGCATTTATTTCAAACAAGGTCTTAAGTAAGCATAAACATTTTATTAAATGAACCACACATTGAACCAAATTAAGTTATCAAAATATGGGTGATAAACACAGAGCTAAGTTGAGCATGTATTTTAATCATATAATTTTGCCCAAACTATCTCTGTCAACTGTTTCTCTCTTATAGGATGTTTAATTCATGGTTATAAATCGGTCGCCAATATGCATGGTCCATTATATTATGAAGTCTATGGTTAAAAGCCTATAAAAAATAATTTAGTAGTTTTATGTGATTAGATGATTTTTAATAATACTTATCTTATATATTTTTTTTTTATAAAGGAGATAAAAACTGGTTTAAAAGTGACTAACATTAGATACATTTGAAAGTAACTTGTATTACTTTCATAATAATACTTTTAATTTAATGAGGTAATTTCCCCTTGTTTTATATCAAACTTAATCCAAAGAAAAAAACCACCAACCTAGCACACCTGTATTACCTAAGCTATATACTATAAAGTGTTTAATTTATTATATAACTTATTTTAATCTTTTTTTAATATATTTATAATAAATATTTTTATTAAACTTTCAAGCCTTTAGTTTTTAATTTCCTTTCACAGAATTTAATAAAATTAATCTTTCTTCATACATTTTTTAAGCAAGTTAGGAATAATAAGCAAGATGAGTTACACATATTGTCGTTATTATCATATGCTATATTATAAAATATATATATTTGTTATATAGTTTAACTTGTATTTTATAACAAGCCAAGGAAACTACTACTAAACATTAAATAATATGAGCATTAAACATATTTATTAAAAAATTAATTAGAATTTTCAATAAGATTTTTTTTTCATGGTTCTTACATAATTTATACCATCTATTTAGAATCGAATTTGTTATATATAAATAAAAATAGTAAAGCTATTTAAATGTATTGATTTGTTATGAATTAAATAGAAACTTTCTCGATTAGATACCAGAATCACAGATGTTTAGTCCTATTATATTAGTCTTAAATTGTAATTTATCGTTTCCAATTAGTTTTAAAATAAATATTTTCAAAGTAATTTATATACAATTTTGGCAGTTTATACATTTCACTTATCAGTCCTAGGCTATATCTAGATTATTTTCAAGGGGATTTTGAAATGTATTTTATAATTTTAGATGATGCGACAGGTATTCAAATTTTAAGAAGTTAAGCAAATTTTAGGGACGATGTGAAACACTACTTTTTTCTAAATACATCCTCCCATTTATTGTGCTAATGTAAATTATAATCTTACCTACCTCAATACAACTAGGTTCACTTGTACTAATATTTGCTACATATTTTAAGATTAACACTTACATCTGATTCTGACTCGTAATAAATGAAATTCTTTGAGGTCAACACAAACCATCTTTGTTTGTAATTGATAGGCATGAATCGCTTTTTGTTTTGCGATCGCTTCACCATCATGCCTTGTTTTAAAATGTCGCAATCTTCAATTTCATCTTTACTCGCCATCATAATATGACTTATTTAGTACAGTTCTACATAAAATAAAAAAAACCGAATAGTATTAAAACGAAATGTAAATAACTAAGTAACAGGTTTAATAAAACTAATCGATTTTCATACATTTTCAAGCATACTATAAAAAAGGTAGATGATGGATTTCCAGATGATCATTATCACCCACCTTGCACAAAAACAACAGGTACTCACCAAAATTTAACTATGCTGGAAGTACATAATTATAATATTGAAGTCAGGCTGAGCTGGAAGTGGGAATGGAATGAAAGGGACGGCAAAGGACGGAATAAAACGAGCACCAAACTAATAGTAATAATAATAATTGATAAAATAAATATTAGTTAGGAAAAAAAGACAAAAAATAAAAAACCAGTTTTTGTCTGTTTGCAGTGAAAGGGACGGGTGAAGAGGTGTACTGTACGTGTGTTTGCCGCATTATCAAACAGGTGACCATATACATGGTTAAATATCGATAAATATTGTGGTCAAATTTTAAGATAAACAGCTATTTACATATTTTGTAGATAAGATAATTATTATCACAGATTACAGAGTACAGAGTACAAACTATGGACAAGATTCTGCAACTGAAGTGATTAAACTTTCATTAATTATCAAGTTGTATTTACATATTTGTTTATTATCGTTCCATCATATTATTTCATTGAACTTTAATGTATAATCAATTCTTTCATTTTTATTATTAGTTAATAATTGATATAATTTAAATATACATCAAAATATAGTAAACATCCTGTTAACTTATAAACTAACTGTTCATTCGTAAGATTCATCGTAAGTATTTTAAATATTGTATAATAACTCTTGTCCTGGGATTATACTCGTTTGTTTATTAATAGTTTTAATTACTATAGGTTAATACTGAATTTATCATCAAATAGTTGTACTTATTTGGTTGTTACGCGGAAAGAAATATTAGTAGAAATGATCCCCTAACCCTGGTTATATAACTTAAATATCTTCGATTATAGTCTTGTGTTTTCTAGCAAATATTATGTTCAACAATGTATATTGTTAATAAAACTCATAATGAATCAGTAAATTTGATACTTGTGTAATACTGAACCTATTTTTTTAAATATCAGAGGGTAATTAAATAAAATAATGTGTTTTCCAAGTAGACCGCAGTATATTTGAAAGGAAAATAACAAAAATTGTACTTATTTTTTGATGTCTGTGTTGGCCAAAAGTCTGTAATGTTAGCGAGTAATACTTTAAACTTTACTTAACTTTAAACTTGTAACCTCCTCTTATACTGTAGCTTGCAAACCTAGGATATTTTTAGTTTAGCGGAGCGAAGCAACGGCGCTAAGCGAGCAAATGCCAAAACACTTGCTGTCCTATAAAGTGATAGAAGGGGGCAAGTATTGCTTCATAAGAAACTGTATTAATGTGTAGTGTGATTAATTTTATTTTATTATCCTCTGATATTGAAAAAAATAAGGGGGGGAGGTCCATCATTACAACAAGTACTGTTAATTCATTCAATATTTATACTAATAATAGTATTTGTTTTTTTTTTTTAGAAAAATGGCTAATGGACAAGAACCGATTCAAGTGTGTTCATTGCCACTACCTCCAGCACAATATTTCCAAAATTACTCTGATGAAAATGTTAGACGAGGTCGTGCACCAAAACCACCACCAATTATACAAGAAACATATACTATGTTTGGTAATCCATACAATGCTGACGATAGCATTATTAGACCATTAGAAAGCCAAGTAAGATTAATAGTTGTTTTTCAACTTTTATTCTAAAACATATTTTTTTTGTTTTACAAAAATGTAATTAAAAATGAGCAAAGATTGGAATAAACATAGGTTTAGTTTACAATCAGTACTATGTGTTATTACATGTTTACATGCACTGTTGAAATCAATTCAACTTGATCCAAATTAGCTTACTTCTAAAGTTAAAAGTATTGAAACGCAAGGTAAGCAAATATAAATGCCTGACTGAGTGTTAAATTAGTGACAGTAAGAGCAAAGTGCAAAAACAATGCCGCTATACCCACTTTCTGACTAATTATTCTATGACTCATTTCTAAATTAAAATTAAAATGTTAGTAATAAGATGGTATTGCAGTATGCAGACAATTTTATTTATGGTTAGCCTTTCTTGAAATTTGTTGCTTTGCTTATGGTAAAAAAAAAAAAATCACAATCAAATTTTGATTGATTTGAATTAAAATTACATTAATTAAATAATTATTTTTTTGTAATAGCGTATAATAAAAATGATGGCCAAAATTAATATAAATCCTTTATACTTTTAGGGCTTCAAACGTCTTTACCCACAACACTTTGATAGAAGGCGAGAATTACGTAAACTCAATCATTCTTTATTGGTCAACTTCTTGGATCTACTTGATCTTCTAATTCAGTGTCCAGACTCCCCAAGACGGGCTGAAAAGGTTGAGGATATTAGCCTACTGTTTATTCACATACATCATTTGTTAAATGAATTTCGTCCACATCAAGCTCGAGAAACAGTGCGCGTGATGTTAGATTTGCAGAGAAGGCAAAGAAACGAAACAACAATCCGTTTACAAAAGCATATAGACAAAGTAAACAAAATTGTTGAACTACAGTATATCTGCATAATTATTTTACTTATTTTTTTTTTAGGTGAGTGATATTCTTCAACAAACATTGGAAAATTTACCAGATACTGAACTTGATTCGAAATTAATGATAGGCTCAACTAAAGTGGAAAAAATGGATTCAATCAATTCTGATGAACTTAGAACTGATAATTGTGTACCTAAAGACAAACTTATGTGTCATTTAATTGATACCATGAATACTAATTAAAGGAAAGATTTAATTTTGTCAATTATTTATAACATTTTAAGGGCGGAGTTGTTTTTTTTATTTAGTAAAAAATTTACTTTTAGCATTAATTTCATATTTTGATGTTTATTAAATTTAGTGTTTTTTTTATCGAGATATTTACATGTACATACTTGTTTATTATTCTAAAAAAAAAAAGTTGTATAAATTTGATTTGTTTTAATTATTATGCTAAAATGATATTGTATTCATAAAACTAATCAATAGGTTGCATTATTCAATGTATAAGGTCAAACTTTATTTAACAATTAATATTATGTTTATTTAAGTTGTAAATAATTCGGAAAAGTAGTTAATAATTACAAAATAAAAAAAATTTAAATAATGACTACCAGCAAGAAATTTCTAAGCATGAAAGTAGTTAAATTTATAATTAAAATACATAAAATTATAATTTACAGGTACATTTTAAAATAGATTACTTGGTGATAATAAGAATTAGTTTTAAACTCTGTAAGTGAATTACACATTTTGTGCATTTTTTAACAATAAAGATAAAAGTGCAAATGTACCTAAAAGTGTATTATTATTCCTTGTCTGTTATAAGTAGATGCTAATGTAGTATTTTGAGAAAAAAACCATTTAAAATAAGTTTAATACATTTTTAATTGTTTGTCTCATGAAAAATATGTTTATATATAATCAATATCATATTATCTATTGAGTGAATTGGAAAAGTACAAATAGATGATCAACACTAGACATTTATTTATTTACAATAATAGTTTATAAATCATAATAATTACCATTATTACTATTGTTGTTAAGAAAAAAAAAATACAATTTTTCTTAAGTAAAAATAAAGATTACTTCTTAAAATAATACAGAACACGTCAGTAAAGTAAATTGAAGCGTTTATTTTCAATTAGTTAATATGGTCGCCATGCTCGACGATTACTATTGTTCGAGTCAAATGATCTTTTATTGTTCCAATTTGCACCACCACCACGCCGATTAGAGTCTAAAAAGAATAAATTGTATAATTATAATGAGTATCAGCACAACGTGAACAGTTTAAAGAAGAAAAAAAAAATTACTATTTGTGTTGGTCGTGTTTGAGAATTTAGCACTAAATTTATCTTTAGGTGGTTGGTACAGTTGCTGACTACTATTACCACCAGTTGTACTATCAACTCGTTTAGTCTTTCCGTCTACAATAATGGGTTCGTGTTTCTTACCCTCGAGTACAATTTGTGCCTATAATAATACAAGTATTTATTCAGTGGTGTGAAAAAAATTCCGGAATTAATTCTATTTGACTCTCATAAGTATTCATTCCTTAAGTTTTTTGCTCTGAATCAAATAACTTAAGGAACAAATAAATTGTATTTACCCAAAAACATTACTGGAAATACGAGTCAAATAGACATGAACTCCGTACTCATGAATATTATAGACTATGTTAATTGTATATTTTATTAATTTTTTTAAAAATAATTACAAGTTTGGATTTGGTAGCTCCGGCAACCCAAGATAAAGTTACGGTTGCTTTGAATCTAGGTGGAATATTAAACAGTTCTTTAATTAGTGTATTTAGGTTGCACGCTAATCTTAGGCCTTCTAGTTTTGTAGCAATCTTTGGATCTGTTTTTACATCATCATCGCCTCTTCCTTTTAATTCTTGCTTGACTACTTTCACAAATGTTTGTGTACAAGTACCAACGTACAGTAGTCTAAATGAAACAGTCACATTTTAAATAAAATGTTGTAATATTAATTTTGTACTAACACTGAAATAATTACTTTTTCTTGAATTCTTTTTGTCTTTCAGGATCTTTGCTTAAAAAGTCTGGACATTGTTTTCCCAATTTATGAAAGGTATACAGAAGTGCTTCTACACGATGTAAGTCCATATTTTCTACTTTCTTGCTAACATCGTTTTCTGGCACAGTGACCAAATCCTAAGATAAATAAATCTCAATTATAAATTTACTTCAACTCAATTAATACTTACAATAAGAGCTTGATAAACTTGTCCAACAACTGCTTCAGGATTTTGTAGTTTACCACAATATGAAACCGATTCAGCCAACAGTTTTAAAATTATAAACTGCTTATCATCATCTTTTATTAAAGTATAACGATTCAATAACTCACAGATGTAAACAATAAACTTGGTGGATTCGATATGGGCCTAAAATAAATATTTGTTGTATTTTATTTAGGTACTTATACTGAAACAAATGACTCGAAAATATTTTTCACTTACTGAAAAAAATGGTAATGCGAAATCAAGGCATGTGATGAACCTGTTCACTTGGTCGACATCTTTAGGGTTGAAAAATTGATCAAGTTCAGCTGTATTAGCCAACAGTTCAACTAATTCTTTTTGTCCGTCTGACGTATTTATTAAATGAGTTGAGGATAATATTGTCATAAGTGTTTCGAATTCATCACATGTGATGTTTTGCATAACTTTTTTGCACTCTGCTATAATCAAGTCCTCTACGTCTTTCTTTATTATATCTTTACCCAAAGGCATTACTTTGTTTAAAATAAACTTCATTGAACGTTCCCTAACGACTTCCTCGTTTGATTGCATTTGACTAAATATTCCTGTCAAAGCTCCTAAAATAAATTTACTGATGATTATTGATTGATAACAAACTAGTTTTAAACTAATTAAGAAAATTAAAGCTACCTTTTGCATCAATTTTAAAAAGGGACAATAACGAATTTTGAGCTATTTGTAATTCTACTGCGTCATCAGCCTGAAGTAACTGAGCCAGTATATCTGCTATTTTGGTTAAATACTCCTTAGATTCTTTACAAAGCACAGGTAAATCTTTGATCGCTTGCTTCCTTATCTAAAACACCATCAATCAAAATAAGTAATTGTCATTTAATTTTATAAATTTTGATTTAACTTACACAAATATCTTCATCTTCGCAAAGATCAAGCTGTGCCTCCAAGGCCTGCGCAGCTAAATTCGGAAAATATTTGAAAAAACGTGTTATGAATTGAGATGCAAGTCTTTTTTCCTTAGTTGATCCTTTAACTGCTGATAATATTTCCAAATACTCTGGTTCTTTCTATAAACAAATAAATACATAAAACAATAGTTTTAAATGTATAAAAATGAAGAAAAAAATACAATGTGTCTAATGTGTCAGTGTTAGCAGGATGCTAACCATGATTCACAATCTTATAATCATATCAATAATATAAACATGTTTCAGCTTTACTTATTTCATTATTTGCACTAAGCAAAAGATTAAATTAAAAATAATAATTTCATAATACTAATTATGAAATTTAACTCAAAAAAATTATCACTGTACCTAAAATGTAACTTAATGACCTAAAAGACAGAAAATTCCATATTAATATCAGACGAACATTTCACTCATGTTGGTAATGGAGTTACACATTGTGTCCATCTTTAATAAATAACATAATCTAATTTAAACTTAAATATATTACGTTTTTTAACTTTTAGGAATAAAAGCTAATACTAATATGTCTTCGAAAAATGTGGCAGCTTATAAGTAATGCCTGAACAGTGGACAACCTCATTCATAATTTTTTAACAAGTCATGGGCTAAATATTTTCTAAAAAAAATTTAAAAGCCAAAGATCGATTTTGGAAACATGTGAGGACATCTATCAATATGATACAAAATAATTACTTCAGCTATGTTTTCTTTTGCATCAGCAAGAATACCAAAATATTTGTACATTTTTTGTATGTTGTCTTCGGCCTCCATGTTTAGCGTTAATTTTAACAAAAAAGACAGGCGAATTATAAAAGAAAACAAGTAATACTTTTATCCAGTACTCTTTAGGAATTTACAATGTGAACAATGTTAGTTGTAACAAGTCGACAAACTAATTATACTACTTAACTTCAAAGGCGATTATAGACATTTGCATAACGAATAAACGATTACCAGTTTACAGTTTACTTGAAAATTTATCAGCGCTGTGGGTAAATAAGCAGACAACATGAACCCTACTAGCAGACATGAGCGAATGATTGTATTACAAACAGTGTAGACAACACAACAAATTAACGCATTGACATGCTCAGATTTTAAATTATTTAAAAAATTATAATATTATTTAATTAAAATAGTAATTCTAAAAATTATAATAATTATATTTTCATAGTATATAAAATTAATCATTTAAATTTTATATTTTTATTAGTAGAACATTTAATTTAATAGAATAGCTGATATAAATGCATATTTTTCTTAGTATGTCAATATGCTCGTTTTGGTACCCATGTACTAATGAGTGATAAATCGGCATTCGGCATTCGATAACAAGTAACATCTTGTGACTGTAGCTTCTACTCAGTTGGCATTTCTTCAAATACATAATTTTTGAAGTATCGTGTTTTTTAAATGTGAGATTGAAATCATCATGAGCCATAAGGATTTATAATAATATATAATATTTACAACAAAAGGTATTCTAATTTACTAATTAATTACATACTTATTTGTATTTAATGTTCTATGGAAAAACAGCTTACAGATTGAAGCAATATTGTTTCAACTATTTTGATCAATTTGAATTTGCGTAGTGTTTAACCAACTATTTGTCATTTAAAAATCTAGCTAATAAAGATTTATCATGGACTACCAAAATCGACCAGGTGGTAAAACTGGTAGTGGTGGTGTAGCATCATGGACAGAGACGAACAAAGATCGACGAGAACGTCTCAGACAATTGGCATTGGAGACTATCGATCTTCAAAAAGATCCTTATTTTATGAAAAATCATTTGGGTAATGCTAATTCCTTAGCTATTCATCCAAAATCGGTAATAAATAAAAATATTTTAATAATTTTTTTTAGGATCATATGAATGTAAATTGTGTTTGACATTACACAACAACGAAGGAAGTTATTTGGCGCATACCCAAGGAAAAAAGCATCAAGCAAATTTAGCTCGACGAGCTGCTAAGGAAGCTAAAGATGCTCCGCAACAACCAGCTCCAGAAAAACCAAGAGTGGAAACTAAAAAGTTTGTTAAGATAGGTCGACCTGGTTATCGGGTGACTAAACAAAAAGACCCTGAATCTGGACAGCAGAGTTTACTATTTCAAATTGACTATCCTGGTTTGTATTTGTTTGTGTTAAATGTTTATATATCTATAATTTTTTTTTAAATTAATATATAATGTTTCAGAAATAACTGATAATGTTCGTCCCCGTCATCGATTTATGTCGGCTTATGAACAAAGAATTGAACCACCTGATAGGAAATGGCAATATCTGTTGTTTGCTGCAGAACCCTATGAGACAATTGCTTTTAAAGTGCCTAGTCGCGAAGTTGATAAATCTGAAATGAAATTTTGGGCCCATTGGAATAGTCAAGCTAAACAGTTTTATCTTCAATTTGCCTACAAAGTGGAACAAATGAAACCTCCTCCGCCGATGAAACCTCCTCCACCATCTCTACCACCTCCGCCACAACATAATATGATGCATCAACCTGGATCTAATATGATGTCACACATGTTCCCGCCGCCACCTATGTATAATCCAGGACCACCGCCCATGATGAATAACATGATGCCTCCGCCACCGCAATTGATGGGTTGATAGATTTGACTATTGAATTACATTTATTTAAATAATTATTTTCCTAGTGCATTTTTCTTTTTTCACAAAATAAGGTTAAGTTAATACTGCAAAATTATAATAAGTTCATAAAGATATGAAATCTATTTTATTTTATGTACGTAGTCTATATTTTTTTTACTATGTTTTAACTATTTTTTTTTCCAATTTAAAAGAATTTTTAAATCATAAAATGTAAATCCGTTCAGTCTGAAATTGACTTTTAACTAATTGTCCGTATTTGTATACTTCTTAAAGTACAAAACATAGTAATATGGTATTTACTTATAAAAATCTACGTTTTAAAACAAAATACAGTAGTAGCGATGAGAAATCTGATTTTTGGAAGTTACAATAAGACTGTTTGTCATTTGTGACCAATAATTTGGTAATTGCCAGTCATCATTGTTAGAATAGAATATTATAATTTTGTTTCAATAAGCATTTTAAATATTGAGGTTGAAGGTTATTGTTTGAATTTTCAGTTGATCAAAGTAAAACCTACTTGTAATTATAATCATATAAGTATAAACAACAATTCTATATGAATAAGTAGATATATCCAAATTTCAAATATAAAAATTACATTATTTTACTATTATTGAAAAAAATATATTTAAATGGAGAAATGTATTTTAAATTTGGATACCTGCCTATTTAAAATGTATATAAAATTGTTGTTTAAATGATTATAATTACATACTATGTAGGTTTTACTTTGACCAACTGAAAATTGTGTCATGATTATAATATAATATGTAATAAAAATATGATAATTTCGAAATAATGGAAGTAGAAGTATTTACAAGAATATTGTAGGGATACCTTGAATTGTACTGCATGTATATATGTGTAAAAATACGAAAAATGTTTTACGCCTATGATGATTGATCTAAAGTAAACCTATTAAACCATTATGTTACACTGGTATGTATAATTTTTTATTTTCAAAACCATGTCCATTAGATAGTTTTATTATGTTGTTTTTAGGTCAATTTAATTAACGCCTTAACATTATGGTTTTTGCCTCGATATGTCTACAAACACCTTGTCATACATTGATTTATTATTGAATTAAAAAAAATAAGTACCTAACGGCTTACCTTATCATTTAGTTAACTATTTGTGTCAACCAGGGGCATATTCAAACTGTCTTACTTACAAATAATTGTAAACAAAACTTCTAAGAAACCAATTACTTTTGCTCCTATTCCTTCATCTTCGACTAAAATCGCATTTTTCAATTCTAAAAATTGATTTAAGATTATACACAAAAGCAGGGTTCAACACTTAAAGCAGTTGCTTAATTTTTTTTTTTTAGCTTTACATAAAATTTAGCAGAGCTATTGGGATTATATTATTTTTAAGAGATAATGGATCACTAACTTGGAGGCCTAAGGTGAAGGTAATATGTGAAGATTTATTTTCATTTACTTTGATTTTCCATTTGTTAAACCAAGTTTCTAACTCATTTAGATAATTTGAAGGTTATCAATGGCTGAATTAATATCTGGGTTGGAAGAAGTTATGCAGGTGTATTATGCAAAAGTGGCTAAGTTATTGATGTTTGAATGAGGACTGAGGTATGTCAGCAGTAAAGAGTTTATAAAGAGTAGGGGTGAGAATGCTACCTTGAGGAACCCCTGCTTTTATAGGAAAATTATTTGACAGCTCGTCATCGCATCGCACTTGGAACGTACGCCTGATGCTGTAGAGAGCTTTAATGATTTGATAGGCCAGCAATTGTTACCTACCATGAAATAGTCGTTTTAGCAAACAATATTCCAAGTACAATTATTATTATTATTATATTAAATTATTAACATTTTTTAATAAAAAAAATGTTTTTGTAAAAATAACAACGCCGTTCAGTCAAAAGAGTAAGTAATTACCAAAGTGGGGTCAATTAAACGTATATAGGTACGATTTTTGTGTATAACAGTTAAAGTAACTATATTTTATGTTCTATTCATCAATGTAATGTTATCATCTTATACATTAGTCATGTATGGTTAGCAGTAGTCTTAATTAGTGACTTGTTTACTGCTTATCATAATTAGATGTGTAAAGCCTGTCACAAATTGATGCTTCATGCTGTTGCAATGGTAGCTTATTGTGGTAATATTATAATGGTAGATAATAGATCTTCGATTGTTAATTTTGCACATGAGTGACGATATTTTTTTTTTTAACTATACTTATATTAATTATACTTATACTTACTAGTTAATTCTTACTAATTATCTAAATTATAATTTTTTTTCATCATAGCTTCTCAGCTAACAGAAATCAAGTATGTGTCTAAGAATAAGAACAAATCAATATTAAATAAAAACATAATGATCGTTTAGTTTATAATACCAAAGCCAAAATGTATAATTACTATAATTCATTGTTACTACGATATAATTTTTTTCGAAATTTAAAGTTTTCCTTTCATCGAGTGGCTGAATTTTTAAACTGCGTTAATCTGAAAGGCCGACTAGTGATTTGCTAAACAGGCTCCTTTTAATTAGGTATTTAAAATGTGGATTAATTTTTCCATAATCTTTGAGTCGCACAACAAATTAATTAACTTATTTTAATTATTTCCTAAAAATGTCCTACTTTTCACAAACGTATAACAACTGATAAAATCGTTGTTTGACTTAGATCGTTTTAACCGTAACACCGTATAATTTCTCTAAATCTAGCTATTAAGTACAAAAACTCATTTTCACAAATTTTAGACTTGGCCAGTTTTTCTCGAGCACCAGCAAATTATAATGTAGAGTTGTAACCATAATACCTTTAGTTATATCTTATAATTTATGTTTATTGCAAGATCAATAACTTATTTTAAGAAACGTGTATTTGTTTCAGATATTATAAGTTATGAGTCATATAGTAATAAAATAATGCATAGTTTTATTTAGCTATAGTTTTATTTAAAAAAAAAAAAAATGGTTATGTTACAATTTATATACGAGAGTAAAATATATACTATCGTGTAGTACAAACACTACAACCAAAAGCATAGATACCGATGAAATGACAATGATTTAATGTACCTAGTGTAAAAGCATAATGTACGGCTGTGTTCATGAAAAAATTTAAAACTATTATGAAATTATTTATGATTTTATTAATAAAATAACGGTTATAGTTTGAGAGCTACAATACGTTTTGTGGCGTACGTCGTGGTTAAACGGTAGTATAGCGAATAAATTGAGTACCGCAAACTTGAATGGATTGTGTACTATCTTCACGCGAAAAAACATTCTCGTCGTATTGCTGTTCGTACTCTGGAAATCTCTTGAAATCTGTTGATGTTCTGAGCTTGACCAACGATTGGATCACACTGAAGTCGATACCGTTAAATATGTTTTTCATAATAGCGACCAACGCTTCGGCGCACAGAATGCTGGGTCGAACGGCTTTATCCAGCAGGTGTTTTGAATCTTTGTATCTGGGGTGGAGCTTAACATTAGTTTCTTTCAGGATCTTCAATATCCGAGATTCATCAATGTTGATCTTCTGCAACGATTCGTCCGTGTGATTGTCTACGGAGACATTTGACATGCCGTCGTTTTCCTTCAACGTTTGGATCACCCATAGCTTCAGGTTTTCGATGGTTTTTACCGGGAAATGGTCTCTACGATCAAACGAGTCCGGTAAGAACTTCACGTGAAAACCATTTCTATCATGTTCATCCAACTGCAAACATTTACTCCAATCGTAGAAGACTTTTAAAAATTGTTTGACGTATATACTTCGTAAGTCGATGCAGAACTTAGACGACCTCTCCCAGAAAACATAATAGATCCGCAACATGATCGTGTTTAACGCTCGCTGCACGTGTTCGTGGAAGTCCACCAGCGTCAAGACGTGCTGTCCAAAAGACCTACTAACGCTTTTGATCTCGGTAATTTTTTCCTTCAGATAACTGATCAACTGATCTCCGCCTTCAAACACTCCGAGTTTCGTCAGCAGAACGGTCGCCTCTGTTCTCGAACACGTCGTTCAAATACAACAGGCCTGGGGTGAAACGTTCTTCGGTTAAAGACCGAGCGCTCGGTCCTGCACCGGAACTGACCAGACTGTAGTTCTGAAGTACATCGGGCCAGTGCTTGTTCAGAAGTTTCATCACCGCACCCGAGTTTTTGTCAAAGTCGTTTGTTGTCGCGTTCATGCGTTTAATGTCGCCAACGTAGTCAGCGAATTTGCGCTCCTCGTTGGTCGCCGGATCGAGCATTGTGCAATTGTTTTCAAACATCGTGCAAAGCAGCACCTTATACATGCCGTAATGCGCGGTACGCAAGATGGGCAGGAATTCTTGGCGTGGGACGTTGGTCGCGTGCACGTGCATTTCTATCCACTTGGCGTACAAATACATTAGCAACGGCACGTCCGTTTCGGTATCTTTCTGGGCCACGTTGAACGCGGTCACCAACATTTTTCTAGCCCATTCCGGATATGTGTCGTCGAGATTACTGTACAACATGTGTACTTGGTCCGGATAAGTAAAGTACATCGGATTCGTCAAATGCAGATACGACAACATGTAGTACGCGTCGTTGCATCTAATTTGTACCGACACCGTCTGCCCTTCCATATTGCTCGATATGCGAAGTCCTTCCATGCCGTCCGCCGTGTTGACAAAGGCCAAAACGACGATGATAACCGACGCGGTCTACTGCAATCGAAGAGCCATTTTCGGTGTACTTAAAATATACAGCGAGACGCAGATACTTGAGCAGATGTAAGTTAGTTGAGTTACAAACGCAAGTACGGGATTGACTGTGCATACGTAAGCGCGTAAATCATCCAAGTATAGTTTGGGGTTTCATTTTAAACCGTGTGAGTGGGAGTGGCAAATGTATAAAATATGTTTTTATTTGTTTAAATCGGTGTTTTCGAGTGTACCAATACATATTATTTGTAATAAAAACTAAACTTTTCTTTCTACTACAGAAAAACAAGAAAATATTATCAAAAACACCGACACATGTGTTTTAAATGTGTAGGTACTTCATTGAGCTATAACAAAACTAGATTATTTTAGCCTATCGGTTATGAGATCATTACTAATAATTTTGTTATTATAACTGCACATTTAATATTGTTTTCCTGTGTTT